GGGCTGGGCTAGGCTGTTGCACCCACTGGCAAGTGCTGGCCCTGGGGTTAGGCCATGCCCAACTGGCTGCAGCACCTACCAGCAGGTGCAAGACCTGGAACTGGGAGCAGGCCACTCCCAAGTCTCATATCTCATGCTCAAGTAAAAACAGGACTAGGCCATTGTTTTTACTTGAGCATGAGAGCTGAGACTTGGGAGTGTGCTATTCCAGCAGGGCTTTAGCACCCATTGGCCTGCATGTGGACTGGGTCTGGGTCTGGGCCAAGCTGGGGTAGGCTGCCACATCTTTTGTTATGTATGAGACCCAAAATGGGTGTAGGCTGACTAGACTGGGCAACAGCACCTGCGGTTGCATGCCAGGACTGAATATGAGTCATGTTAGGCTGTATTGCAGTGCCCCCTGGCAAGTACAAGCTCCAAGGTCTGGGATCAGCCTGGTAGGGGAAATGTGGGCACTCTCCTGCTAGTCTGCAGGTCCTGCTGGTGAGGATGAGAGCCAAGACTGGGAACAGAGCAGGCTACAAGGTAGCTACATCCATTGGCATATTGGTGGACCACATATGGGTAAATGGGTTGGGCTGAGCTAAGCCAGAGTTAACATGGATGTACACAAGAACTGGACACAATGAGGAATTGGCTGGACTAGGCCATAGCACATGCCAGCATGTGCAGAAACCAGGACTGGGGGTGGTCATGGTGAGGCTTAAATTGTGGATCTAACCAACTAGGCCATGGCACTCAACTAATGCACATGAGGACTATACCTGTGGCAGGCTGGGTTGTGCTAGATTACAGTACTCATCAATTCGCATGAGAGATGGGCTTGGGAGCAGAAACTACCCAGCACACACCTTAGTTTATACAATTGGTGTGGTGATTTAGGTATTGTAGTGCATACTGCTTTTTAGGTTTTTTAAAATTAGGATTTACTAAAATGATATTGTTTTTGAACATTTATTAGGTTTTTTTTACATATTATTATTATTATTATTATCATTTTATGATACAGTTCCATATTCCCTTATCCCCTCCCCAATTCCCTCCCTCCTCCCCAACCTAGCTCCTTTATATCATTACTAACATATAGTTCTTCATACACAGTTATATATCCATCATTGTAGGCATGGACAATGGCAGAGAGTCCAGAATCCTATTGTCAAGATACAGTAAACAGTTTCATTGTAAGTCCATCTTTGTCTGGAAGCAAAAATACATACTACACTGCATCCTCACATCTGGATGTTAGTCTCCTTTCACAGTTATTGTACATCCCCTTAAATGAAAAATCATAATACAAAATCAACAATAGAAAGAAAAATAGAAATTTACAATGCCATGAAGTTAAATGACATGTTACTAGATATGACAGTCTCCATTACATAGCTACTATAAATCCCCTGAAATGAAGAGCCCTAAAACAAAGTCAACATCAGGGAGAACAAATAAATTAACAGCACCAAGAAGTTAAATAACATGCTTAATATGTGTAGCTGAAGAAATGAAAATCAAGACCATTCTTGCAGAAAATGATGCCACTGCATGATCTACGAGTCATTGAATGATTTAATCAGAAGAAAGTGCTTTGAAGAGATGAAACCAAGAGAAAACAACAAAACCCATGTGATATAGTTTCCGCTGATCTTTGTTGGTGAAGTGTGTCTCCTCCAGACAATAAACAGATGGGTTTTGTTTTTTAGTCCACTCTACTAATCTATGCCATTTGATTGAGCTTAAGCCATTTACATTCAGAGTTTAATATGTATGGGTGGTACTTAGGTCCTGTCATTTTAGAAATGGGTTGTTCATTGGTTTAGTCTTCTGTTGTCATTTTACTGGGATGTTCTTCCCATTTGCCTTTGGTTTGGCAGGTGCTATTCCTTTTCTCTGTGAAGAGAACATCTTGAAGTATCATTTGTAGGGCAGGTTTGAAAGAGGCATATTCTTTTTTTTTTAATTTTATTAATTGTATTACATTATGTGACACAGTGTTGTGGGCACTGGGATTCCCCCCACCCCTCCCCGAACCCTCTCCCCATGATGGATTTCTCTACCTTGTTGCATTACCATAGTTCAGATTCAGTTGTGGTTCTTTCATTGGAAATATTTACCAAGCATAAAGTCCAGTGTTTTATTATCCTAGTGGGTTCAACGATTTCTTGGTGAGACCATCTCTGGTCTGAAGGTAAATCCAGCTAAGCATCATCCCAAATGATTAAAGGCCCCGACATGACCTCAATAGCCATTTACAACCTCATGGCATCAATTGACATGACATTGATTAATAGTATGTTGATAGGAAGATGCAGCTTCTTAACTACATCCTGTGACTTCTTCATAGACATTTCAATTTTGGTTTGTATTCAACCTGATTCCATACAGTTATCAGTTTAGGTACAATGCATTTTTTTTTTTTTTTTTAATTTAGGATGGGTGTGCAGAGAAATCCCCAATACTCCAGTGAGGCGTTACTAATCTTAAAATGATATTTTAATGAATGTGTGGTGAAATAATTGAAATAATACAGTACAAAGATGTATAAAAATAGTATCCCTTTTTAAAATAATGTCAGTATTTACGAATCTTGTGTCTCTTTCATGCGTTACTCGTTATTTATGATACGCAGGGCTTAGTTTGTATTCACTGAAGTAGGATGCCTGTGAGTGTACTTCACTATTTTTCTTTCCCCTCAAAACAGTATTACGAAGTAGCCCATGAAGGCCATATATATCCTTTGTTTGCATTCATACAAAGTTTTTATTTATATACATCATCCACTTATTTACATAAAACATATGGAAGAAGATCCATTTGTTTTCTTTTTCTGTGTTTAACTTACCTATCATTTTTTCTATTTAGTAACCTCCTTTCCCCCCAAAATGTGATGATTCTTGTTGGAAAATCTGCTGGTATCCTTCCATACTTTTTTCATTTTTATTAATATGTACAAATACTTGCATATATGTATATGTCTGAACACACTCATAATATTTCTTAGTATTCAGTAAATAGATTGTATCACTGTATGTGCTTGCAATGAAGGAATCTCAACTGAACTTGAACTGAGGTTATGCAGCAAGGTGGAGGAATCCACTATGGGGAGAGGGATGTGGGAGGGGTGGGGGGAATCCCCAGTGCCTATAAAACTGTATCACATAATACAATGTTAATAACAATAAAAAAATTTCCTGCATTAAAATATAAATAAATAAAAATTTATTTTATCTCAAAAATAGAAGAAAGAGAGAGTTAGATTTTTCCATTTAATGATTTACTCCCCAGTGTCTGCTTACTGGGGTTGGGTCAGGCTGAAGCCAGAAGCCTGAACTCTGTTGGGTTACCATGTGGTTACAGGAGCACAAGTACTTGGGCCATCTTTCACATTTTACATTTTTGGGAGCCAGATGAGAAATGGAATAGCCCGGACTTGAACAGGCACTCTGATAGGAGAGCGGTTTTCCCTCTAATACTAGAAATAGTGCTAAAGCAATGCCATTCTCAGCTTACTCACTTTACACTGTCACAATAACCCTGTTTCCTGTAGAGAACTTCTTAGATTATTTGTTCTTTTTGCTTCATTTACTTGTATTCCAATATATAAGTTAATAGTAAAAACTTTTTCTCTTTTCTTTTTTGGTTATTTCTGTTACCTGGTAGTCAGAAACTGAATATGGTAAATATGTGCTGAATATTAAATGAACAGCTATCTAATTGAATTTCTTTTTTTGAGTTTCAGTTTTAATTTTCTGTGATACTTTATACAGACATATTTTTAAAGATTTATTTATTGGAAAGTCAGATACAGAAGGGAAGATCTTCTGTCCACTGATTCACTGCCCAAGTGACCACAACAGCCAGAGCTGAACTGATCTGAAGCCAGAAACCCTGAGTCTCTGTTGGGTCTCCTACACTGGTACAGGATCCCAAGGCTTTGGGCCGTCCTGGACTGCTTTCCCAGGCCACAAGCAGGGAGCTGGATGGGAGGCAGGGCCAGGATTAGAACCAGTGCCCATATGGCATTCCGGCATGTGCAAAGCAAGGAGTTTAGCTGCTAGACTACTGCACCAGGCCCTATATTTTTAATTTGTAAAAACACATTCTTAGCTTATAGATAAATTTATGCTTAAAACTTATTGTAATTCGGGCCCGGTGCGGTGGCGCAAGTGGTTAAGGTCCTCGCCTTGCATGCCCGGGATCCCATATGGGCGCCGGTTCTATCCCGGCAGCCCCACTTCCCTTCCAGCTCCCTGCCTGTGGCCTGGGAAAGCAGTTGAGGACGGCCCAAAGCTTTGGGACCCTGCACCCATGTGGGAGACCCAGAACCCACCTGGGAGACCCGGAAGAGGCTCCTGGCTTTGGATCGGCATAGCATCAGCTGTTGTGCTCACTTAGGGAGTGAATCATCGAACGGAAGATCTTCCTCTCTGTCTCTCCTCTCTGAATATCTGCCTTTCCAATAAAAAAAATAATAAAAATAAATCTTTAAAAAAAACTTATTGTAAGTCTTGGATAAATATTACGTTATAATCATTAGTAGGGTATTGCCATTTCTTGGTGTTTTTCTGAGGCAAACGAATTCTAAAATTTGAAAGATAGGAGTTATGCAAACAATTTTTTGAAAACACATTTTTCTAAGGATTTCCCACTTGATGTTACTGGCATACAAAATTCTTGTGGGTTTCATTAGTTAGTAGGTGTTTGGAAGTAAATTATGCCTCATAGTCCTGGGTTCCATCTCAGCTATGGAAACATTCTGAAAATACACTTGAGAGTAATTAGTAGGAAGCATATTATGTTCTTTATAAAGAGAGCCAGTTTGTTATACATTAGTAGAATGAATATTTCTTGGATCTGGGATCTGAAATAATCTGGTTAAATACATAATGATTTGTTTATTAACATAGTGAAGCATTTACTTACAGATTTCTTAATATTGATTTATTACATTTTAATGTGATATATTTGGAGATTCTGAATGTCTCACATTGTGCTTCGTATTACAGAATGTGCCCATTTACTTTTGGCTCACAATGCTCCGGTAAAGGTGAAAAATGCTCAGGGATGGAGCCCTCTGGCAGAAGCCATCAGCTATGGAGACAGACAGATGAGTAAGCAATGCGAATTACTCCTTTGCTCTATATTCTGTTTGTTGTTGTGGTTGGTATTCTAAAAATACAAAGTGATGTATGTTAAATATTTTTTATGTAGTGTAACTTTTCATACTGTGAATATCTGCAGTTACCTACAAACATTAATTACTCATGATGTAGGGATATAAACATTGAGAAGTATACAAAATGAATTGAATTCTGTTTAAAATTGAGTATATTTATTTTTCTTTTCTCCTTTTGTAACATTACACTTTAATAATATTCTTTAGTTTATTTTTTGTTTAATTTATCCAAAACAAGATGACTTTTTAAAAAACTGAGACCTAACTGTCCTTTCTGGCAATTACTTAATTATTTGGATCATTGATTGGAACTAAAAATGAAGCTGGCATATCGAGTTATCTGCTTTGGTTCCTGTGTATAGACCTTGCTGGAAGTGAGGTGCAAGGCTGTTTGTTCTAATCCTTAAACAAGTATTTTCAATACTTGTCATGCTTGTTTTCAAAATATAGTGTTCAATTATTCCACTTTTCTTTATAAATGATTTTTCAACTTTATATGAAAGTCTTATTTTTGTTAAGGACATCTCAATTCTTTTTTTTTTTTTAAAGATTTATTTTTATTATTTTTTCATTGGAAAGGCGGATATACAGAGAGGAGAGACAGAGAGGAAGATCTTCCGTCCGATGATTCACTCCCCAAGTGAGCGCAACGGGCCGATACTATGCCGGTCCGAAGCCAGGAGCCTCTTCCGGGTCTCCCACATGGGTGCAGGGTCCCAAAGCTTTGGGCCGTCCTCGACTGCTTTCCCGGGCCACAGGCAGGGAGCTGGAAGGGAAGCAGGGCTGCCGGGATTAGAACCAGCGCCCATATGGGATCCCGGGCGTGCAAGGCGAGGACCTTTAACCACTTGCGCCACCGCACCGGGCCCGGACATCTCAATTCTTGAAAAATTCACACAACTTGAATCCAGATGAATGCAAGTGTTCATTTCAAACAATATCTCTTTATGGTTTAAGACTAAAATGATCGATTAAATCTAGCTTTGTAGAATGAAATGGAAATTGTTAGGAGTTTTTTTCTTTAAGATTTTTTTTTTTTTATTGGAAAGTCACTTACAGAGAGGAAGAGACAGAGAGCAAGCTCTTCCCTCTGCTGATTCACTCCCCAAGTGGCTGCAATGGCTGGAGCTGAGCTGATTCGAAATTAGGATCCAGGAGTTCTTCCAGGTCTCCCACACAGGTGCAGGGTCCCAAGGCCTTGGGCTGTTCTTGAATGCTTTTCCAGACCACAGGCAGGGAGCTGGATGGGAAGTGGAGCAGCCAGGACTCAAAGCCGTGCCCATATGGGATTGCCAGTAAATGCAAGGCGAGGAATTTAGTCACTAGGCGACTGTATTGGTCCCCTGTTGGCCTTTTAGTAGTGTCTTTGAATTCTTGAATACTTTTTTTAGCTTGACCTAACTCTGCCTCCAGCTTTTTGTTTCCCCTTGGTGACAGAAAATATCTTCCAATTCTGAGATTCTTTTTTCTGCCTCCTTTGTTCTATTTTGGAGACTTTGCACTGAATTTTGAACTTGCTGTATTGCATCCTTCATTTCTAATAATTCAGCTTGATTTTGTTTCAGTGTTGCTATTTCCTGTGTGACATATTCCTTAAATTCCTGCATGTGCTTCTTGTTGCGGATGAGGAGCTTTAAAACAAGTGTTTTGAATTCTTTATCCCCCATTTTCTCGATGTCTTCCTCAGTGAACTTGAGGTTGGCAAAAGCTTTTGCTCCTTTGCAGAGGAGTTTTCAGTAGTATCCATTATGCCTGTGTCTCTTCTTTTGCTCTTAGTCATTGTACCTCTGACTAGAGAGTCTTCTCCTTGGAGCAGGTTTCTAAGCTGTGTCTCATAGGTGTACAGTTTGGTTTTACTCATTGTAGTGGGTAGACAGTTCTTTCTTTGCAGCCGTTTGTACCACTTCTCCAGCAAGTTGCAGATCTGTGCTCTTATGTTAGACTTCGGCCATGGTCTCCGTAGCCCCACCTTCTGGCTCACCACTCCACCTCCTGTGATACTGTGCTGTTGTTGCACTATTATCTGTACAATGATTCTCCCACTTTCAGTTTGTGCAGTTCCCAGGATTAGGGAGACACCAGGAGTCCTGTACTGCCTGTTTGGAATCTGCTGCTCTCTCTGTGCTTCTGGTTGAATCAAACAAATGAGCAGGATGTGCAGTTCTTTCTCTGGGTCCTATCCTGAGTTCCCAGTGAATTCCCCTTCCTACCTGTTTGCTGGTGGAGTTCTGGTCGTAGACGCAGTTTAGAATGCTGCTGACTGAATGCTGCTGGGGCATCCGTCACTACAACACCACACCGTTGTTTCCTCTGCTTTCCTGTGTCCATCAGACTCCAGGTGTCCCTCTTCTCTCTGTCTTCCTATTTCCTGCAGCGTGTCCCACTCTGCTTCACCCTGGCTAATGTTTCTCCATCTGTTTAAACATGTCCTCACTATATTCTGCCATCTTGATTCTCCTAAGCCTCTGAATTTCTTAGCTACAGTGAAATTTTTGTGACTTTCAAGCATTTTTTTAAAAGAAATATTCATTGATTTGAGAGATAGAGAGATCTTCCATTCACTATTTACTCCTTAAATGGCTTATGCTGAGAAAACCCAAAGTCCTTATGTTCCTGCATCCACATTAGAAACTTGGACAACAAAGCTCCTGATTTGTAGCTTACAATCAGCTCAGCTCCTCCTATTGTGGATGCCTAGGGAGTGAACCAGCAGATGGAAGATCTTTCTCTGTCTCTCCTCTTTATAAATCTGCCTTTGCAGTAAAAATAGATAAATCTTTTTAAAAAGTGTTCAGATTTACTCAAAACTAGTAAGTAGTAAAGCTAGTAATATCTCAAATGTCAGTCTCTTAACAGTTGAGAAAAATGATAAGAAATGATGTAACTTTTGTAGGTTCAGTTCTTTTCAGAAATACAATTTGATTCGTTTATAGATTTTTAAACTCTATCTGGAGGTTTGTGAGAATACAAACTCCAGAGTCATATGCAATAGGATTTTTTTTTTTTGCACTTTAGATTTTTTTCTAAAGATTTATTTTTATTATTTTTTTTATTGGAAAGGCAGATATTCAGAGAGGAGAGACAGAGAGCAAGATCTTCTGTCTGATGATTCACTCCCTAAGTGAGCGCAATGGCCGATACTATGCCTATCCGAAGCCAGGAGCCTCTTCCGGGTCTCCCACGTGGGTGCAGGGTCCCAAAGCTTTGGGCTGTCCTCCACTGCTTTCCCAGGCCACAGGCAGGGAGCTGGATGGGAAGCGGGGCTGCCAGGATAGAACCGGCGCCCATATGGGATCCCGGGCATGCAAGGCGAGGACCTTAACCACTTGTGCCACCGCGCCTGGGCCCTAGATTTTTTTTTTTTAAGATTCATTTATTTTTATTACAAAGTCAGATATACAGAGAGGAGGAGAGACGGAGGGAAGATCTTCCATTCAATGATTCACTCCCCAAGTGAGCCACAACAGTCGGTGCTGCTCCGATCTGAAGCCAGGAACCAGGAACTTCTTCTGGGTCTCCCACATGGGTGCAGGGTTCCAAGGCCCTGGGCCATCCTCGACTGCTTTCCCAGGCCACAGGCAGGGAGCTGGATGGGAAGTGGAGCTGGTGGGATTAGAACCAGAGCCCATATGGGATCCTGGCGCGTTCAAGGTGAGGACTTTAGCTGCTAGGCCACACTGCCAGGCCCAGATTTATTTATTTGAAACGGAGAGTGATAAAATGCAGAAGAGGCAAAGAAAGACATTTTTCATCTACTGGTTCATTTTCCAAATGCCCCCAAAAGCTGGGGTTTGGCTTGGATGAAGCTGGGAGCCAGAAACCGTAGCCATGTCTCCCTCATGAGTGTCAGGTTGTTGTTGAATACTTTTCTCACTATTTCTGGAAAACCATATCAGTTTTATTAACCTTATTTCTACAAATGCATTCCCTTGTACCCTTAATCCTGTCTTAATTTTCTGTTACTCCAAGATACCCTCAAATATTTTAAATTGCTTTTAGTTTTGTCTTCTTAATATTTATGGAAGAACAGAAGTATTTAGTATTGTGGTTAAGATGCTAAGTTAGATGTTTGAGTCTCGGTTCTGGTTCCTGATTCAGACTTTTTGTTAACATGGATAGTGGCAGGAAGCAGGTGGCTCAGGTAGTCCAGCCCCTGTCACCCAGATGGGGCGTCTGTGTTGAGTTCTTGATTTCTGGCTTTGGCCCTGTCCAATTTTGGTCAGTGTGGGCATTTCAGAAGTGAGCCAGCAGGAAGTGGCTCTCCTTTCAAAAATATAAAGCAGAAAAAATGTATTGCAGTTATAGCAAGTATATACATTCATGTGCATGTGTCTTATCTATTTTCTATATTTTATTATTATTATTTTTCATGATAGGGCTTTGTAGGTATAGGGAATCCCCCCAACTCCCCTTCCTTCCTCACTGTTCTCCCTACCTACCATTGTCACCATATTATTACAATAGTATAATTCATAAGTTTAGCATTCTGCTGTTTAAGTGTATCATAGCATTGTAGGTTTTGGCAGTGGTGGAAATCTAATGTATTGTCAAGTTATATTTAACAATTTCATTTGGAGTCTTCCTTTTATTCTGGAGTAGATGCATACAGCAGCGTATCTTTGCTTCCTGATACACTAGTCTCCATTGTGAGTTTATCTATGAGAGTAATCCCGAGGATGCTTTTCAGCATGGCTAAAATCACTTTTTCTTTTTTTTAAACTTTAGTTACAGCTCTTCTAAGAAAACTTAAGCAGCAGTCCAGGGAAAGTGTTGAAGAAAAACGACCTCGATTATTAAAAGCCCTGAAAGAGGTAGGGTATATTTCTTCGCTGGTTTTGCAATTAAGGAATGATTGTAAAGATAGTTTAAATATTGTTAAAAAATAGATTTTCACAATTATTAAAGGGGGTCAATAGTGGTAAAAAAAAATTATACTTAAATTAAGCAATAATTAAAGTAACAAGCCTGTTATATAATCTTAGTAGAACACCATTTACTTTTTTTTTAAAAAAGATTTATTTATTTTTTATTGCAAAGTCAGATATACAGAGAGGAGGAAAGACAGAGGGGAAGATCTTCCATCTAATGATTCACTCCCCAAGTGACTGCAACAGCCAGTGCTATGCTGATCTGAAGCCAGGAGCCAGGAACTTCCCCCATGTCTCCCACACAGGTGCAGGGTCCCAAGGCCCTGGGCCATCCTCGACTGCTTTCCCAGGCCACAGGCAGGGAGCTGGATGGGAAGCAGGGCTGCAGGGGTTAGAACTGGCGCTCCTATGGGATCCTGGCATGTCCAAGGCGAGGACTAACTGCTAGGCCACGCTGTCAGGCCCAGAACCCCATTTACTTTGAACTAGGAAGATGAAAATTACTTTCAATAAATTAAATGAGAACTCTTTAAAAATAAAGGAGCTAAGTCATAATTAATGGGAATAATTCTTCTTCGTTCTTTGGATTGGCGCATTCCCTAAGAGCTAAACTGCCATTGTTGCTTCTATTGATATACATTTTCTTTATGTAACAAAACCTCTGGTGGTGAAAGCTGGCTGTACTGGTTTGAAAGTGAGAGAGATTTGTTTTCTATTGTTCTTTTTCTCTATATGTTTGATGCCTGGAAGAACTGTGGGAGAATGACCTATCATGGGGATTTGCTCTTTAAGGCTCCTGTTTTGTTTGGTTTTAGTTTTTAAATATGAAGAGATACAGAAAGAACCAGAAAGAGCCAAAAATTGCTTTCTTTAGGTTATAATAATATCTATTATTAAAGTCTACTGTCTTCATGGTTTAAAATAGTATATAATAACTTGATGATGGTATTATGTTGTAGCGCATTACTTATATTCAACATGTATAATTTTTTAAAATAATATTTGATTGTTATTAGTACCCTAACATTTAGTCTTTGGTATCTAATTTGCAAAATAAATTTTCTCCAAAGATCTTCTAGGAAGACATATTTCATATTTATTAAACTTGTGTTACTACTACCCACAAACATTTCTTCTATCATAATAGGCCACTTTTGAAAACTGTTAGGAGTTTTACAAGTAATCATTTTGGTAGTTATTTTTAGTAACATCTCTGAAGTTAATGATTTTTAAAATATTGCCTATTATTGTTTTTTTTTTATTATGCTGGGGTTGGAGTATTTGTTATAAACTTAAATGACTAACAGATTCGATATGTTCCTATGTGATAAAAATGTTCTTATAAAATGTTTTAAGGCTTATCTATTTGAAAGGCACAGTGACAGAGAGAAAGGGAGAGAGAGAATAGAGACACACACTCAGAGAACTCTTCCATCCTACTGATGAACTCCTTAGATGGGTGCAGCAGCCAAGTCCAGGCCAACTGAAGCTAGGAGCCTGGAAAAATCCTCCCTGATCTCTCAAGTGGGTTTAGGAGCCCAGGAAGGCTCCTGTACTTTGGACGTCTGCTGCCTTGCTACTCAGCAGGGAACTCAACTGCAAGAAGACTTGCCGGGGCTTAGCTTACGCTCTGCTATGTGTTGCCCAAGTTTAATCACGTTGAACCACAGCACTGACCCCTGATCTTGTAAAATATTTACTGGTGGTTATTTTCCTTTGTAGTTAAGTGGTGGTAATGTGTGCTATGGAATCTATTATTTTAGGTAATGATCATTTGTTTTTATTGTTTTTTTCCCCGAAACCCCAAATATTGAAGTTAATTTTTATTCTGTTCTTACCTAGAGATTTTGGGGATACAATGTTTTTAGATCGAATATAAGCAGATATAAGAGCTGTCACAAATTACATATTTAGTAATTTTTCATCTTATATTTCTTAGCTAGGTGACTTTTATCTAGAACTTCACTGGGATTTTCAAAGCTGGGGTAAGCATGCGCTATGCTTTACTATAAATTATGTATTCATGCAGAAATGCAAGTGCAGACTTAACTGTTGTAAATGTTAGTGAAACAAATTTAATATTTATGTTATTTATTTATGTTATTGTCAGATACTACTGAAAGTTTAATCTTTTTGATAGAGTACTCAGGATAAATGTCTTAGAACATTGTTGGACATTTCAGGAGCAGTAGTTTCTACATTTAAAAAATTATTTCTTGTTCATATGAAATAAAATCAGTTTTTCTTAAAACAGTTTACATATTGTAAAATACTACATAATTTATGATGCATGGTTATTGGTTCAAATTTAAAACAGTATATATAACAGTTCAATACAAAGGCTTGCAGTTTTAAAAGAAATTCTTTATCTTGCTATCCATAGAATTCATCCATCATGTATTTGACAATGTTATTTGAATATTGTAGCTGCAAAATGGTAGACTTAGGAACTTTTTTCTTAAATTGGGTAAATCAATCTTAAAATTTCAAAATTTTATTTTCAGTTTAACGAATTCTGCTACCTTTGAAGTAGTACGCCACTCTCAGATTATGCTAAAATAATTTCAAATGTAGTATGCTTAATTGTTCAGTTAACCTGAAGGAGGACAAAATCATTATAGAATTGGAAAATATAACTTTCCTTTTTGAAATAAACTGATTAAAATCTAGCAGAAATCTTTGCTTATTGATTTTCTTTTGCTTTTGCTTTTGTTCTTAGCTTTTTTTTTTAACCTCTATTTTGTCTTCTCTGATTTCTATTTTCTTTTCCTAATTTTTGATAAGTAGGTATTGGTATATATCAAATTTGTTTCTGCAGAGTATCATTAACTATTTCAAAATTTATACTAAATAAAATTAAATTATAGCGCAGTCTGCTTCTGATCATCTGGATCAATTAACACCAGTGCTTAAGGACAGAGCTCAGTGAATGAGCATAAAGGTGGAGCTTTTTTTTTTCTTTATTTTTGACAATAATACATAGGTTTTAGGGGACAAAGGGTCAAGGGCTATAGGAAAGTGGGTAAGACTATTGTTGACACATCATTGCTTTTTTTTTTTTCTGTATCTGGGGCAAAGGGGGAGATAAAGTGAGAAGCCCCATCCAGCTTCCTACCCATCCAGGTCCCTAGTGTGGTGCCTGCTCCAAGGGTCCTGCTCAAGTGGTTTTGATAATTCAACAGTTCTGCCAATCTCACCCTTCCAGGCTCTATAAAAGTGTTGTAGAATCCAATGGTTGACATAGTCCACCTTAGAGTTTGTTTGCCCAGATTTTCACTGCCAGCATATGGCTGGGGTAGTTGATTGATTTGTTCTATCCTCTGTTGTGGTGCCAGGTGTCCTCTGCAGGTTCCAGTGGACTGCCATATCCTCCATGTGCACCTGGATATGCTGTCCACTGCTCCATCTGAGCCTCTAAGGAGGATCAGCTCTGGCATTTCCACTCCTTGGTAGACCATGGAACCTGCACTTCTCTTCATGGTTGGGGTTCTGAGTCCGGCAGTTCAATTGGGGAGATCTCTAAAGGAATTTCATCTGAGGTGATCCCAGACCAGATTCTTGTATGTTCGTGCAAGTACAGGGCCCAGCACAGTCCATTGCTCCCAATCAGCTGGTGGTCACAATTGCTGGGTCAGTTCTGTTTCCAGCCCTGTCTTCCACTCGAACCAATGAGTTTTGCAGTCCAGCCTGATTCTGCCCAGAAAATACTTGGTCCTCACATAAACCAATGGGAGCTGCAGCCTAGTCAGAGTGACCCGCAATAACCCCCACCTGGCCAGCCTCCTAGCCTGGTTCCCATGCCTGCCAGTAAGTATAGCAGACTAGTCCAGTCTGTCCCATATCCCACTCAGCTCTTCTACATGTCATTGGGCGTTGAAGCATAGTTCAACCCAGCCGGGCCCACTATCCAGCCCACGTACATGCTGGTGAGTGCCTTTCTGTCTAGCCAGGTCTGTCCCTGTCCTGGTTTTCATGCTCTCCTGTGGGAGTGATAACCCAAGAGGGAGGTGCCGACTATTTCCCTCCTAGGCCACTCCAACTCCTGGATCATGCACTTTCCAGGTGTTTCTATAGTTTAACTTGACAGATTAGCCACCAGTGCCAGCATCTGCCATCTGATGCTGCAACAAAGCCCAACCAACCCTCACCCATTCTGATTTATGCTTGCACCAGTAGGGACAGTCATCCAAGACTGGGTCTTCCATGATCTGGCTTGCATGAGGCCCACAGGTGTTGTAGCCCTGCCTGGTCTTGTCTTCCCCCATCCCAACTCACACTCTCCAGTGGGTGAGGTGTTCCAGCAGGGGGACCCTCCACATTCCCCCTACAGCTTTACCCCCTCCCTCCTGGGTTATTATGTGTGCTGGTTGGGTGCTGCAGCCCAGTCTGACATGGCCTGCCTGGCCTTGGCATTTGCCAGTTGTTGCTTAGCCTGGCCCCGCCTGGCCCACCAATTCTTGCTGGTGAGGGTTACAGTCTAGCCCAGTCCAGCATTCACCCCATCCCAGCTGTAATGTGTAGTGGTATGTGTTGCAACCATACCTGGCCTGAACCACACTGTTCTGGTGCTTGGATTCATCAGCCGGTGATGTGAACTGGTTCAGCCTGGTCCACCCCTGACCCCTGCCAAATGTATGCTGGTAGGTACCTTTCCCTGGCCTGGTCTGTGCTGCTCCTTATTGTGGTTCTTGCACTCACCTGCAGTGACTGTGTTCTGCCAGAGGAGTTGCCCAGCCTCCTCCATCAGAACCTCTCCCAGTGCCAGATTTCACGCATACTGGTGGGTCCATGAACCAGCCCTCCTCAGTCCACCTCCTGTCCTAGCTGGAACAGTGGCCTTTCCTGACTGTCCTTCAACCCATTGTGGTTCTTACTGTTAGATGTTTCAGTCCAGCCAAGGCTCGTCCATACCCACATACAGCTCACACATGGCTCATTAGGGATGGAGACCTATCCTAGTCCATCCTACATCTACCCTAGTCCTCCAGAGCACCAAATAGTGCTGGAGTCTAGCCCGGCTAGGTGTTCCCAGCCCCAGTTCACACTTGTGCCAAGGGAGACTGCATGCAACCATATCCAGACCAGAATGCAGCCCCCACTCCAGCCCCTGCACTCACCAATGGGAGTCCCAACCTATCAAGCGTGTACTTTCACAGCTCCCCAAGTGGCCCTGTTCCCATGCCATTGGTTGCTCTGACTCAGCTTGGCACAGCCCCTAACCTTTCTTGACCTTTGCCTTAAGTGCTGTGGCCTAGCATCCCTGGCTCATGCAGATAAGTAGGTGTAAGAGCCTTGCTCAGCCCTGCCTGGTCCAACCCCTTCTATAACCAACCTACACATTAGCTACCCATTGGAGCTACTTTGCCCTACTTGTCAGACCCCCAGGCCTGGACCATGTGTTCACCAGTGGGTTATGACCCACTACGGGAATTTCCCAAGTTCCTCCATTTGACCCACTCTAGATCAAGTTCTCATACATGCCAGTGGGTGGTAGGCCAGTGTCCAGCAGAGTCTGGTCTTTCACTTGGCCTTGTATGAGCTGGTGAATGTAGCATTCTGGGCCCACCCCACAGCTTGTTTTAGGATTCACATTCGGGTGCTGCTGCCTTGACCAGTCCATCCAGACTTGTTGATTCCTTTATCCGTGAGTGTTGGCAGGTTCTTTGTTCACACCTAGCTGAGCCCATAACCACCCCAACTCTTGAGCTCACCAGTGGGACTAATTTTTCCATAGGGTTTGACCCACACATCCCCCACCAGAATCTACCCCTGAAAATGGTTCTCTCGTGAGCTGGTTAGTGTCATGACCCTGCCTAATGTGATCCGTCCCCCAATCCAACATTTTATCATTTACTAGGACCTGCTAGACAAGCCCTCAGCCTAAGCTTTCTTGTGGACTGGTGTGTGCTGGTCAGCATCATTTGGTGCTAGCAAGTTACACACAGGACTCAAAGGAGGCTGGTATATCAGTCTGATCCATAAAGATCCTCTGGTCCCTCTCCTCTAAACCATCAGGTCTTAATACCCTTGCTTACCTTCAAGGAGAAGTTAACTCTGTTGTTGGGAGTCTTCAGGATTGATTCGCAATCCAGAAGCACAGTGGGTGCAGCATGGAGGTACCTAGGCAGCAGTTCATACCCCCAAAACCCCAGCTGCCAGGTGGCCAGCAGGCAGGGCCTGACACCAAATGGCACATTGGCCGCCTGGGACAGCTCACCAGGTATTCACGGTGGCTGGAATCAGGGCTCATGCATGGAGTCTGACCCGGCCTGGGACCTCCCAACAATTAAAAGGCTGCAGGAAGTTCTCCTATCCAGACCCCAAGGTTGTACCCTCCTGGTCCCACCCACCGCATGATGTTGGCAGCAGCTGGGGCCTAAGCCTGCCCTGTTCTCCAGGATTCTGCTCTCAGTGTACTCACCAGGAAGAGAGAAGACTCTGGAGTTTTGGCAGGCCTAGGGACAGCTCACTAATTCTCAGTGGCTCAAAGGTGGAACTTTAATCATTTAAACATTTATAATGTTGCTGTTGTTTGTTCAACTTTCTTTTCAAAACAGTAGAAATTTGTCAGAAATTGACAACTCTCCCCCTCTCTCAATTCCTCTATTTTAAAAACAAAACAAACAAACATTAAAGCATCTTTCATTTTATCCAAAAGGGCAAAATAGAGTCAAATGGAGAGTGATCTATCTGAGGGTTCAGTTCCCAAATGCCAAGTTGCCAGGGTTGGGCTAGGCCAAAACCAGGGACTTGGAATTCCATTCAAGTTTCCTGCAATGGTAATAAGGACCCAAATACTTGAACCATCATGTGCTGCCTCGCAGGATGTATATTTGTAGGAAGCTGGATCAAAAAAAATCCAAGTAGCTAGGAGTTGAACTGGACACTCTGACACACAATGTAGTCATCCCAACAAGCAACTTACTTGCTACTCTAAATACCTTCCCAGATACAATGTTTTTTTATATCCTTTAACTTGCTTAACTGTTACTAGTTATTCCCTCTCTGTAATAAACTTTTTATTCTTTATATGAACAAAGGTTTAAAATTTGTCTTGAAAGCTGGAACTTGTTTTTATTGGATTAAATGACTTCTTAGGATATAGAAGAGACATGGTGTATTAGGTATATTTTTGGATGAAAGTAAGCTGAAAAGCTGCTTCTAGTCTTTAATCTTTTTAAAGAATTATTTATTTATTTGAAGGTCAGCAAGATCTTCTATGAACTCATTCCCTACCTAGATGGCCACAACAACCAATTCTGGCCCAGACCAAAGTCAGGAGCTAGAACCTTCATCTGGGTCTCCTATGTGGGTGGCAGAGGCCCAAACACTTGCTCCATTTTCTGCTGCTGTTCCCACACCATTTTTAGGAACACTGCATCATAAAATGACATATATTGCTTACTGGCTTAACCTGCTATGCCATGACACTAGCCCTTGAAATTATTTACTTCTTTTTATTAATTTAAAAGGCTAGACAGAGAGAGAAAGATCTTTTACCTGCTACTTACTAGTGTGTGCATACCAGTGTAGCTTGGTGGAAGCATAACTGAGACTTGAGCTCAAGCACTCTGTCCACTATGGAATGCAGGGGCCTTACATGATGTCTTAAATTGCTATACTTGAAACCTGGCTCTAGTCCTGTGCTTTAATTTGATTTAAATTTAAAATTTAAAATCTTTGTTTCCTTATAATTTTCTTCTAATTTAACTTATTGCTCAGTTTTTAAAACACTGAATCTTGTGCAGTATACATGTAATAGGAGCTAAATACATATATAGGTAAACTTAGACTCAATACATGTCCTATACATGTGATAGGATTTTAAAAGATTTATTTATTTTTATTGATTTGCAGATGGAAATATTTGAATGTAGAAATATGTAGGCAAACAGTATGAATGTTATTGTATAGATTTGGAGTTTGAGTACAGTCAACACATTTGATATTCAAATTCAACTGTTTTCCTCCAACAATGTCTCTATTTTCTTATTACTTTCCTGCTTTTTTTCCAAATTTGCAGGATTGGTGAAAGTCAAGCTTTGTTTGGTTGCCTATTCAAGAGGGTTTAATTACCATTGAGTATTTTTAACTCATTATAATCACCTTAGCAGTATGTACTCAAGACTGTTATTATATTAACTGTGCTACTCTACAGTGTATCTGTGGGTGGAGCAGAAGTATAGTAAAGTATACAGAAATACTTCAGGTTTCTCAGAATCATGTAAAGGTCTAATTTTAAATGGAAATTCTATTTTAAAGAAAAGTACTATAATCTGGTAAATTAGTGAAATGTTTATATCACTCTTAATTTAAAAACTTGCAAATGTTAAGTAATTTTTACCTTTTGTTTCTAAAACCACAGTGCCTTTACTTTCCCGAATTCTGCCTTCTGATGCATGTAAAATATATAAACAAGGTATCAATATCAGGTAAGGTGACTTGATTTTTTTTTCCTGAATGAAAGAAAATTGAGACTTAAAATTCCTAATCTTATTTCCTTCATTCTTAAAAGCTACTGGTTTCAATGACAGTTTGTATAAAACCTTGGTATATGTGATCAACATCTCTTAACAACTAACCCATCCAATTTCTTGGATTATTGTATTTTGATCAGCCAGTTGACTAGGATGAGCTTGATCTTGTGATTATATAAGAGTTTATTCAAGATTGAAGCAATTTACTGTATTTGTAAGCTGTTGTCATACTATATTTTCCCTTAGGCAAGCTAGGGATATGTGGAAAGTTGTTTGTAAGCAGCCCATGACTAGACCATGCCAGGCCTTTGTAGTCACAAATGAGCACAATAAATTCCCAAGTGTGCAAAGTTGTACATGTAGAATGATCCTAAGTGCCGGAGACCAGCTCCAGCTGACTGAGAGCTTGCAAAGGATGCGTGGATCGGCGAGATGATAGGAAGAGATAAGACACGGACCACTATGACTTGATGCTCATAATGGACAACTCAGAAAAGTTGCCTTCTTTATTTATACAGAAATCATCACAAGTTTTTTCACAACATCCAATTGTTTCATTTTTCATTACACCATGGTTATGAAAATGCAAGAAGCAATCCTAAAAATATTTTTCTATTTCAAAGAAAACATTCTTAACAAACCATTACTCATTGAAACCTGCAATCACCTGGCTGAAGCCAGGAACTCCACGGTTGGCAGCGCATGCAGTTACATAGTGACAAGTAGTTTACTTATACTCAAAATCAACTTTTACTAAACACAAACTAATATTGATTAAAATATTAAGAATACAGAATTAAAAGATCATAAGTAAAAGGATTTTATAAAAGCATATAACATAGATTCTTTGTTAAATTTTATAATCAAATCATGCATTAATTACGGTCACCGTCACCTACTGCTGATTCAATTGTTTTTTATTCTTTTGTTAAAGGGCAGTGAAAGGGATCAAGGCAATTCAGCTAATTTACAAACAGAGGGCCTCTTACAAGAAACTTCCTTTAAACTATTTTCTTTCCCTAAATATGAATGCCAATATAAGATAGAAATTTTTATAAACTGTTTTCTTTCTCTAAATATAAGTGCCAATATAAGATTGAGATCTTAAGCCAATTTGACGGGGTTCACATTTATTTCCTTATAAAAGATGCCCCATATACTTTTGCTTTCTGTGGTAAGAAACTAAAATGCGTCATATCATGTGTTGTAACAGTTCGAGGTGCATGGTAAACAAACTCTTTGTACTTCCATGATTGCCATCTGTTGCAAGATATTATCAAGCCATTTCCTAAGGAAAACATTACTTATACTAGGGCAAACTTTAGGACAAAAGTGGGCACATAACAGGATGTTTAGAAACATAGTGGGCTCAATTGTATTATTGTATACTTTCAACTGTGTGTCATGGCCTTACGTTACTATAGGTGTTTTTATCATAACATGATAGATCAATTTGAGGTGTCATACCAGTTACAGGAATCACTTCACATTAGCAGAAAAGCAACAACAACACCCTCAGAAGAATTCTATGAAACATCAGAGAGGTGATTGAGTTCCATACAATGGGTGAGGCAGCAATGAGGTGACCAGAGACATTCTGCCGGGCCTTGCCACGCAGCCAGAAACTCCTCGCAGCCTTGCTAACTGAGGAGCGGTGCTCATCACACACCCATGCCATCCGACCCAACTGCACGCCTCCCCACACCTAAGGCCTTTGGGCTGTGTACATATTTGTTGGAAATGTGAATGGTAGCCTTAATCCAAGAAATTGAACAGGAAGATTAAGAATTTGGGAGTAGATCAATGACTTGTCAAGTTGAAGGATAAAGTAAGGTTTGGTCCTTAATGGTTCCACGTAAGTCAATAAGACAGTACTGAGTCCAAGCGTGTGGGCCCTTCACTGCTGTGCCCCTCTTAATCATTCTGCTGGACTGACAACGTGCTCTTAAGAGGGTAAGACAATGTTAAACAAGCCTGCTCTCCTGTTCTGATCTTTCATGTTGATGTGATTTTTGTTGAGTAGCTAGAGTCAGGGAAATACAACAAAAGGGAAATTTTTTTTTCTCTTTCTGGGTTGATGAGGTGTGTATTCAGTAAAGTGAAATCTAGATAAAAGGGAATACACATTTAAACCTTGTCATCCATTCATCTTTCACAGGCTTGACACAACTCTCATAGACTTTACTGACATGAAGTGCCAACGAGGGGATTTAAGCTTCATTTTCAACGGGGATGCAGCACCCTCTGAATCTTTTGTAGTATTAGACAATGAACAAAAAGTGTATCAGCGAATACATCACGAGGTAAGCTTGTTGTCTTAGAACAAACTATTCCTCTAAACAGTTAAAAAATGCCGGCGTATTTGGCTGGGGCACAGTGTTATTTAATTAAAGACATAGCATATAGTTGAAGTGGTTTATGCCCAAAGATTTTTTCTTCGCCACTATTTTTTTTTTTTTTTAAATGAATTGGTGACCAGTTTGGAGTTTGTTTGGCTGAATTTCACTGATTTTCTGCTGTATCAGTGTGCTTCAACTTCCTTTACTTGTATGTGTGGCTTTCAAATGGTGAGACTGCTGGCATGATGGGCTTGCGACTGTCACGGAAGGACTATCTGATGACAATAAGGGGAAAATAGCTGGGGAGGATGGAAGGGTAAACATCTGAGCCTGTGGAATTGTATCATGAGAACTAGAAACAAAGGGGAGAGGCAGGGCGCGAGGGAAGGAGTGGGTTGTGTCTAGACCCTTTTACTGTCCCTGACTCTTGACTTCCTCGTCTTTATCTGTTCCCTTATACTTTGTTATCTTCTTTTTGTCACACATTTTCAGGTTGATGTTTCTTATCATCCACCACTGAAAAACCTCTGCATCATTATCTTTACTGTTTATTTCTTTTTTAAGATCTGTTTACTTTTATTAGAAAGTCAGACTTTCAGAGAGAAGTGGAGACAAAAATCTTCCATCCACTATCTCACTCTTTCCCAGGCCACAAACAGGGAGCCAGAAGGGAAGTGCAGCTGCCAGGATAGGATCCTATATGGGATCCCGGCACATGCAAGGCGAGGACTTTAGCCACTAGGCTTCTGCACTGGGCCCTGCTTATTCTCTTTGCTTGATAAACCAAAGAAAAAACTTTTGCAATATCTGTATGATGAATTCCCTCTGTTTTTTTTTTTTAACTCTAGCTGCTTTTACTTTGCCTTTGTTTTTTGTTATTTCACTTTTTTACTTTATTATCACTATATGTTTGTTTTTTTTCCCCAAATATGTCATATATTAGACTTTTCTATTGCTTTAACTGTTGACAAGACCTTATTTGTCTTGTATGTTGTACTTTTAGATATTTCTTACATAAGAAACAGGATGAGGAAAGTTGGAAGGAAAATTATGTTTGGAAACAGATGAAAGATCCATTTCCTTTAGCATTTCTCTTATTGAGTCTGACATAGTTTATGGAAGCCCTAATTTTATTAATTATTATTAATGTATTTATTTTTACTGCAAAGTCAGATATACAGAGAGAGGAGAGACAGAGAGGAAGATCTTCCATCCACCGATTGACTCCTCAAGCAGCTGCATAGCCAGAGCTGAGCCAAGCCGAAGGCAGGAACTTTTCCCGGGTCTCCCATTCAGGTGCAGGGTCCCAAGGCTATCGGTCATTCTCTACTGTTTTCCAGGCCACAAGCAGGAAGCTGGGCGGGAAGTGGGTCAGTTGGGACACAAACTGTCACCCATATAGATCCCAGTGCATACAAGGTGAAGACTGGCTACTAGGCTGTCATGCCAGACCCTCATTCTTTATTTTTAAGAGTAGAGGGAACGATTGCTTTTATTTTCTGTAGACTTAGACTCATAAAAGGACTGCATGTAAGTGAAAGTTGGTGAAGAAAAAAAAATGGGCCTGTTGGGTATAAAGAGGTATGAAGAATGGTGTTTTTAGCTATTGTAAACTTTGCAAATAATTATTCCCCAGACAACTCACTCATTTTTGCTTTTCTTCCTTATGGGACTCCACGTGGTAGTTAGAGTATCTTGACCTGTCATGGAATTAGAATCTCAACTGTGTTTTCTCACTTACTCTCCTGTACTTGGCCATTCTCCCATTGGTCTCTGAAGCAAACACAAAGTCACAGTGAACAGGTTTTATATACCAGCAATGAGGACTGTGTGTTGTTTACGGCCTTCTTCTACTTACGTTCTGTTTCAGTTTATTTCGTTCATTATTGTAGTTTAAATTTGAGGGTTGATGTTCATGGATTCTTTTCTGTTCTAAAAGGAATACAGAAAGTATCTCTTTTCGTCTACTGTTCTTTCCTCCCTTCATCTTACTCTCTCTCCCTTTTTTTTTTTTTCACTTAGAACTTACTGAGAATAAAAAACTCCAATGATATAAAGGGTTTTGAGTTAAAAAAGAACCAAACTAAGATTTATCTGTGTTTATAGAAAGCAAAACAAGATACTATGTGTGTTTTGTTTTTAGTCTGTCAACTTATTCCTTAAGTAATTTTAAACATTTGCTTTAGAGATTTTATTGTTCTAGTTATAACTTTATGGATAACCTAGTTATATTTCTACTATGTATTTGTAATACTATTAGACTATTGTATTTTGTGTGGCTTGCTTTTAAAAACTAGTCATTTTAGCTTATTAGAGAATACATTAAGTAGCTGAGACTTCTAATTGTTTTTAGAGTGAATGAAAATTCATATTACTTAGAAGCTGTCTTTTTCTGTTTTGAAATTTATGGCATTTAAATTGCTGTATTTTATATCTGGCATTAATAACTTGAAAAAAAAGTTACATTTTTATATTTATTTTTTGCCTTTATTCCAGGAATCAGAAATGGAAACAGAAGAAGAGGTTGACATTTTAATGAGCAGTGACATTTACTCTGCAACTTTATCAACCAAATCAATTTCTTTCACACGTGCCCAAACTGGATGGCTTTTTCGGGAAGATAAAACAGTATGTGTAAATCTAGATATTTAAACTTAAAATTAATATTTAGTATCACCTAAGTAATGGGATAGAAGTACAGGAAATAGTAGCTTACAAAATTATCTTCAAGTAGTTTGTTTTCATTTCCTTGAGTCCAGATTGGTAATTTCAATGGTTGCTTACAATGCCAAAATGTATCAAGATTTATTTCCCTGAAAGAGAAAGAAAGAATGAGGGAGAAAGATAGAGGGGCAGAAATGATTTCTTTTAAAGAACTGGCTCATGAGAATGTATCAGTTGGCAAGTCTAGCATCTGCAGAGCAATGTACGAGGCTGGAAATCAGGGCAAAGCTGAGGCTATTGTGATCTTGACTCAGTACTCTGCAGGCCAGACATGGAGGCAGTGTTTCTGTACTTTAGCATGAAGGCAGAAATTGCAATTCCTTCTGGAAATATTGGCCTTTGCTCTAAAGATCTTTGACTGATCGAACAAAGTCCATCCGTGTTATGGAGAATAATAATACATGCTTTACTCAGTCTGCCGGTGAGCATTAATTTCACTAGAAAAATATCTGTACAGCAACATCATGATTGAACACATGGGTATCATCGCTTAACGAAACTGACATGTGATTAACCTTCATGCAACTTTATACATAGTGCTAAGCATCCCCTTTAACCACCACCCACAGTTCTAGCACTCGGCTTAGTAATCTATTTGTATATTCTTTCAAAATTTTTTATGCTTTCCATACAAAAATATGTATCTATAGTAATATGTGGACTTTAGTTGTTGATATTTGCTTTGTATGAAGTGTCATATTGTATCTGTGGTTTTGCAAGTGATTTTTTTTTTCACTCTTTAGTGCCTTAGGAACATTTTATTATCAGTATTTACAGTTTTTCATTCTTTTTAGCAACTGCATGATATTTCATATTTTGAAATTTTGTAAGTTAATTATCCATTCTTATTTTTGAACATTTAGCTAAATAGACACATTTGTATCTAGTTTTCTGACATAAATGATGTTCTGCTTACCATCATTTTGCCTTATCTATTATAAGCAGCAAGAGATGGAGTTGTTGAATTATGGAGAATATACTTAACTTGTTAAATTGATATAACAATTTAATAAGCCCTTTTTCATTATAAGGTTTCAAAAACTGGTCATTACTGTCTGAGTATTTTCCAGCCACAGACAGTTTGTGACTATAAGAACTAGACTGATCAATATTTTTAAGTGTACTGGCAACAAATGGCATTTTAGGATTTCAGGTTGTGAGATCCTGCCTTGCAGCCCATTGGTTGACTTTGAAGTCTTATTTGTACTCTGTTCTTCTGAACAGCATTAGACTGATCACTTCAAGAGAAGATAAAAATTGAAACCGCTATTCATCTAATGAGACTGCTAAGCAGCTCAAAGCTCTTGAACAGCATCTTAGGTGGTCTTCTTAAATCTTTTACAGGTAAGGAGGGAGTCAGTAATGGTTATAGTTCCCATTTTGTAGGTAGAAACTGGCACAAATTTTTTTTGTTTTTCTCTTTCTGGTGCCTGGAAAGGAGCCTGCTTGTAACAAAGTTGACCTGGAAATAACAAAACACTTAGTTTTAGAAGGCTAGCAAACAGCAGTAAGGTGGACTGGTGATTTGTATGCAAGAAGAAATGAGGAGTTTGCTTTTAGTAAGTTTTAGATTTTATTTTACTTTGTTTCTCATGTAAGTTATTTGAGCCTATGGCCACTTACTAGTCTGACAAAGTCAAGGTTAATGTAACTTAATTGAAAGGAAATGACTGTTTTCCTGATGTTCTTATACCGCTACAGTTTCCCTATCCCCAATTCTTAATTTAAACACTTAATTGTGTTGGTGAGCAAGACTGCTTTGTTATTTCTGCTTCCTTGAAAGCAGTAAGTGGTTGTGGATGGAATTTGGTCTTGTTGGAGAACAGAGGATTTGAATAAGTCATTGATTCTAGATATATTAGAGATTTTTACATGTCTTAGACTATGTATTTTCTTTTATTCCACTTTTTTCTAACTATAAAATGGGAACAGTGTTATGCCTGACCCCTCCTTGTCACTCGTGATATTTGTTGTTTGGTTTAATAATGTTTTCAAATAGCTTTGTGCTACTTGGGAGTAGATTGTAAAGGATTACTTCATGGTATTTTTATTTAACTTGACTGCCATACGTTTTTATGTATTTTATATTTTCCTTTATTAATTCAAAATGTATAGTTTTGCACAATTTTAGTATAGTAGAATGCATAAGGCAACTTGATAATTTCCACCTCTATTACCACCTACATGTTTGCTTGAAACTTTTTACAGTCTCAGGCAAACTTTAAATTTTGTTATTTTGAAAAAATATGATTTTGTTTTAGGAAAGAGTGGGAAAATTTTTGGCGGATTTTTATCTAGTGAATGGACTTGTGTTAGAATCAAGAAAAAGAAGAGAACATCTCAGTGAAGAAGATATCCTTCGAAATAAGGCCATCATGGAGAGTTTGAGTAAAGGTGGAAACATAATGGAACAGAATTTTGAGGTATAGTTTTTATTTCTCCTAACTTATGGTTTTGTCAGGGAAAAAAGGAACAGTGGATATTTCTGATGTTCAGTTAAGTTTATATAAATGTATTCAGGTTTTACTTATCATGTGTTTATTTGTTCTCCTGCTAGGCATGTTCATAGTCCCAGATCTTGAACCTGCCAAGGGGTACAGCAGTCCAGCTTGACATAACTCGTACCCAGTACTGGCACTTGCCAACTGGAGCTGTGGCCTAGCTAGGTGTCACACATCCATTCTGGCTCTCATGGGTATAAGTTGGTAAAGCAGCCCAGCTAGGGAATCCCCAAAGTTCCCCTACCCAGCCCACTTCCAGTCCCAGATCTTAGATTTGTCAGCTGGTGCTGTAGCCCAGTCTGAGATTGCCCACCCTAGTGTCAGCATTCACTAGCAGGTGCTTCAGCCTGGCCTAGCCTGGCCCACACACATTCTGGTACTTGTTAGCACAAGCAGTGCTACAGTCCATTCCAGTTTGGACCACTCCAGACTCACTTCAAACACATGTTGATTGGTGCTGCAGCCTTGCCCCACCTGATGTGCCTACAACCCTGGCTATTATAATCACCAGTTGGAGCTACAGCTCAGCACAGGTGTGCAGAGAGCGCCCCTACCAGGCCTGTTAACCAGTCCTGAGTCTTGTGTTGGCTGGCGCTTGCCTCGCCCCAACCTGACATGGCCCACTCACACTTTCAGCTCACACTGGCAGGTGTTGTAGCATGTCCTGTTCCCAGAAGTGGCCCACACAAACACTAATAAGTGCTGTGTAGTTACCTAACCTGGCCTGCCCCTTACCCAAGCTTCCATGCACCCCAGCAGGAGTTGCAGCCTAGTAGGAGTTTTCTAATTTTCCACACCAGGTCTGCTTTCAGCCCTGGATCTCAACGTGTGCCAGTGGGGTCAGTAGCCGTGCTAGGCATGGTCTTCCCTCAGTCCTGACCCTTGCATGCACCAGTTGATGCTGCATTCTGGCACCAGCTGGCCTTTTCTTTTCCTAGCCCTAGTTCCCCAAGTGTAACACAAGTTCCTGTCAGGTGAGTTCCATAATCCATCTGGGTACAGTCCGTCACCGCATCAGCTCGCTATGTAAACTGTTAAATGCTGCAGTCCTACAGAGGTGAATCCACAATTCCCCTACAGAATATGCCCCCAGATCTGGTTCTTTCGCATTCTGGTGGATGCTGCAGCCCAGTCTGATGTGGCCTACCCATGTTCCGACACATGGGGGCAGGTACTGCAGCCAAGACCAGCCAGGCATGCACCCTAGCCTCAGCTTTTGCAAGTGCCAGTGTGTGACAGGTGATGCTATTGCACATAACCCAGATCTCCCACGTGGACAGGCCTGTCCCAGACATGCCCTCTGGTTTCCTCCTCTAAACAAAATCATCTCAGTCCCTTACCTACCTAAAAGTGCAGTGACCTGGTCTGTAGAAGACCCCTGAAATCATTCCTTCTCTGTCAAACATGTCCTCAGCTGTTCCTACTCCAACACATTCTCAAACCCTCTCTCCAGGCAATCTGAATTGCTCCTTTAACCCTGCCCCAACCTAGAAACTTGAATGGTGTGAGAGGGACCCTGTGATTTTAGCTGGCATTCTTTTAACGTCAATTGATTTGTTTCACATGCACATTTAAGGATTTGTCCTTATGTTTGATTGATGAGAGCTTGATGATCATGTGTTGTGGTAAAGATTGCTTTTAGTCAACCCTATTGGGAGTTCTGTGCCCTTCTGGGATGTTGTTTCCCAATTCTTTCTCTAGATTAGTGAAATTTTTCCTTATTATTTCATTAAGCACATTTTTTTTTTTTAATGCAGCTTCTCTTTCTGCACCTTCTTGGATTCCCACTACTCTTACATTTGGCCTTTTCATAGTGTCTTTCAATTCTTGAATATGTTTTTTACTTTGACCCAGCTCTGCTGCCAGCTTTTTGTTTGTTTGCTCCTGGTGAGGAATATCTTCTAATTTTGAAATTCTTTCTTCTGCCTCCTTCATTCTATTTTGGAGACTCTCCACTGTACTTTTAATTTGCTCCACTGTATTCTTCATTTCTGATATATCAGCTTTCATCTGATTCATTTGCAGTGTGACATATACCTTGAATTCCTTGAATGCTTGCTTTATGTGCTTCTCATTGTTGATAAGAAGTTTTATAGCATGTGTTTTGAATTTTATACCTCCCATTTTCTTGATGTTTTCCTCAATGAACTCTGAGGTTGGCAAAGGATTTTGCTCCTTTGCAGGGGAGTCTTCAGTAATATTGATTGTGCCTGTGTCTCTTCTTTTGCTCTTGGTCATTGTACTTCTGGTTATCAGATTTTTCTCCTTGGGGCAGGTTTCTAAGCTGTGTCACCCACAGGTCTACACTTCAGTTTTACTTATTGCAGTTGTTACATGGCTCTTTGTTTGGAGTCACTTGTGCCATTCCCTGCAGCTAGTTTCAGGTCTGGATTCTTGTGTTAGATTTCCACCTACAGTTTCTGTAGCCCCAGCTCCTGGCTCACCAGTCTCCACGTGCTGTGATGCCGTACTGAGGCTGCACTGTTGTCTGTACAACCTTTCTCCCACTTCTGACTAGAGCAGCTTCCTGGGATTAGGGAGACACCAGGTATCCTCTATAGCTGGGTTTTTGGCAGTGCTGATCTTGCTGGAACCTGTTGGTTGTTAGGTCTGAGGGCCACACAGACCTATTTTGACCCATAAAATGCCATAGTTGGTATTATTTTCCTATGGTACCAGTGCAATGCAATGAGTTCAGTGAGTTCTTGCTGAGTTCAGTGCATGTGCAGCTCACTGTTATGCCTGCAGTCTTACAGTTTTTCCCCACTGTATGAAATGGTGCCTGACATACCACTGCTAGAGTGGTTGATGTGCCACTGCTTAGTGGCCTTAAGGTCTGAGGGCTACCTGGACCTGTCTTGGGTGGAACCTATTGGATGCCATGCTGTTGTAGTTTGCTGAGCCAGAAATGAGTTCACTCCCAGCTCAGTGCATGTGCAGTCCTGTCCATAGCTCTTGCCTCCTTAAACATAATGGCACCCCATATGGCTCTAGGGGATGGACAGGATTGTGAAATCCACCATGTTTTTCTGCTCCTGGTCAAATCAAAGAGACCAGCAGGACAGGCAGTTCTTTGCGTTCACCTCCTGAGCTCTTAGTTAACGTCCCTTCTCACCTTTTTGCTGGTGTAGTTCCAGCTGCTGGTGAAATTCAGATCCCCACTCCTAGAATGCTGTTGGGGTATAGCTCACTACACCACCACACCGTTGTGTCTGCTTCTTACCTGCTGTCAGTCTCTGGGTACCCTTGTTCTATTGTTCTTTCTTCTCCTGTTTCCTGGAATTTACCCTCTGTGCTTCACAATGGATATTTTTCCATCTGTTTACGTGTGTCCTTACCTTATTAAGCCATCTGGATTCTCCCCAGACTACTTGTTAATATCGTAATACTCATTCAGGTCCAGCACCTTGGCTAAAGTCCTCATCTTGAACGCGCCAAGATCCCATATGGGCACCGGTTCTAATCCCAGCAGCTCCACTTCCCATCCAGCTCCCTGCTTATAGCCTGGGAAAGCAGTCAAGGACAGCCCAATGCTTTGGGACCCAGCACCCGAGAGGGAGTCCTGGAGGAAGCTCCTGGCTCTTGGCTTCAGATTGGCGCAGCACTGGCCATTGCACTCACTTGGAGAGTGAATCATCGGACGGAAAATCTTCCTCTCTTTCTTTCCTCCTTTCTCTATATCTGACTTTGTAATAAAATTACATAAGTCTTTAAAAAAATCTTAATAGAATCTTTAATATCTTTAATAATAAAATCTTTAATAGTCATTAAATTCCAAACTGTACTAGCCTGATACTCTGTCTGCTGGTATTACTGTTTATCTTAAAATTTTATCACTCTTTCATTTATTGCCCCATGATTTTACAATCTGTATGTTGATTCACCCTTAGTGATTTTCTTGCCACTTTTATCTTATAGTGCTCAAAATTCATATTTGACAGAAATGGGTTAAAAGTTTAAAACCTAATTTTTGGTGGTTTTTTTTCTTACACTTGGTCACTTGGGGAGTGAATAATCGGACAGAGAATCTTCTTCTCTGTCTCTTCTCTCTGTATGTCTGACTTTGCAAAGGAAATAAATAAATCCTTTTTTTTAATAAAAAGAATTGAGCCTCGCTTGCCTTAATTCTTTATTACTTAAAGGAGAACTTAAGTATAGTTCAGAGAAACAAGATAGGAGTTGAAAAGCAAATTTTACTAAAATACATTTAAAGGGAGAGATGGGCCAGAAGAAAGAGGACAAGGTTCCTTTCCTTTTGATCTGGGGCTTTTCCCCCTAACATCTGAGGGACATTGACTGATGTGGCCCTGATGCGTCTTGGTCTTTTTCATTGGCATTACTTACATTTGAGTTCTTTACTTATGTGGTTGGGTAGAGGTCCATTTGTATTAGGACATTTTAGTCATAAGTTAAGCTACAAACTTTGTGTTCTTGGATGATTCCTGATTTCACTTGGGAAGAGGTTCTTGTGGCCCCTCCCCAGCCATCATGCGTGCTTGATTATTGGCCTGACAGTACTAATGTTCAAATTGGTATTTTTTTTCATTTACAACTGAATTTCAAGTTTTTTGAAGTCTGATCAGAGTTCATGTTAAACTTGTATACAGCTCCTTTGTTCAGCTTCTAACATAATGAAGAGAACATTGTCGATGAATGAATGGACAGTACTACTTTGATATTTGTGTTAGGTTTTAGGAAAAAGTGGTAATTGTGTTCCTATTAGGATTCGAAAAAAATTAATAGTTGATTTAAAGAGTAAATGAAATTAATTTAAAAGGGACTATTTCAAATATTAACAAGTTTAGGCAGATTGGAAGTTTAACCCATTTACTGTGTTTTAAAATTTTATACATTTTCTTAAAAAAAAAAATTTTATACATTTTTAAAATGTGATGTTTTTCTTTCTTCATCTCAAGCGTCTTTTTTTCTTTCTTTTATTTTGGCAGCCAGTTCGAAGACAATCCCTTACCCCACCTCCTCAGAACACTATTACATGGGAAGAATATATATCTGCTGAAAATGGAAAGTAGGTATTTTGATGTTATTTTGGTTTTTTTTTCTTTTCTTATTTTCTTTCATTTTTGCTTTCCTCCCTCTCCCCCTTTTCCTTCTTTTTTCTTTCTCTAATTCTCCCTCTTATTCTCTCTATTTGTTTATATGTCCTTAGACATTTTGAAAGCACAGTCTACTATCAATGGACCAAACCTGTGATAATATTTAACTCAGAAACAAATTTGTTAATATATTTTTGTTCAAAGTAATTCTTTTACTTTCTAAAAATATCAGTTAAACATGATGGAGCATTCGTATTACTCTTTGAATACGAACTTGACCTTTTTTTTTTTTTTAGCATCCATCTTGTCAATTTATGTACAAAGAACAAAACAAAGCAAGCAAAACTATTGAATTTCTAAAGAAATATAATTTGCCCAAAGCATTCTCATAGTCTAATGCGTTTTCTTAATTGGTGGTTATTCTGATTCTTTCACATGACATATAAAGTCATTTACTATTTGTCCTCTCTTTGGCTTTCCAAGTTTATCTCTTGTCATTATTTTTTGTTCTTATTTTATCAGTGCTAGATTAGTTCTCATCCTTATTTCATAGGATTTTTAATTATTTTTTATTTTACTAATATTTTCTAAAGTGCCTAACATATAAATCATATAAAGGAGCACCTGTTAACTTTTATTAACTAAAAGAATAATGAATATATATTTTTAAAAGAATGCATTTTGGGGCCCGGCGCGGTGGCGCAAGTGGTTAAGTCCTCGCCTTGCACGCCCGGGATCCCATATGGGCGCCGGTTCTAATCCCGGCAGCCCCGCTTCCCTTCCAGCTCCCTGCCTGTGGCCTGGGAAAGCAGTTGAGGACGGCCCAAAGCTTTGGGACCCTGCACCCGCGTGGGAGACCCGGAAGAGGCTCCTGGCTTCGGATCGGCATAGTATCGGCCCGTTGCGGCTCACTTGGGGAGTGAATCATCGGATGGAAGATCTTCCTCTCTCTCTCTCCTCTCTGTACATCCGCCTTTCCAATAAAAAATAATAAAAATAAATCTTTAAAAAAAAAAAAAAAAAAAGAATGCATTTTGGATTAATGAATAAAAAGGTTTTTTTTTTTTCTGAATAACCGCTGTTTTCTTTTGGCATAGAATAAAATATTATCTAGTTAAATGCTTTTCTTTTTCTTTATACCTTACCTCATTTTTCTACTTATTCAACTTTATGGGACACCATTGTTTTTTTCCTGGCTTCTGCAAACCAGATGAAGCCAGAATACAGTAATTTGTGCTAACTGCCACAATTAGGACCTTGAAACAGGGCAGTTTTGAAAAAAGAAAAAGATAATAACAGTTATACTATGATTTTGCAGAGTAAAGAAGTCTCTCTCTCTCACTGTGTAAGGACAACAGCTCTGAAGGGACCAGCTAGTCTGCTTTTTCTTTCTTCAGTTTGGTTTTATCATTTCGATTAAAGCCAGCCTCCTCTGCTCAATAATTGGAAAGCTAATTCTTTCTTATAAAATGAGAATTAAGGGCCCGGCGCAGTGGCGCAAGTGGTTAAAGGTCCTCGCCTTGCACGCCCGGGATCCCATATGGGCGCCGGTTCTAATCCCGGCAGCCCTGCTTCCCTTCCAGCTCCCTGCCTGTGGCCCGGGAAAGCAGTCGAGGCTGGCCCAAAGCTTTGGGACTCTGCACCCACGTGGGAGACCAGGAAGAGGCTCCTGGCTTCGGATTGGCATAGTATCGGCCCGTTGCGCTCACTTGGGGAGTGAATCATCGGACGGAAGATCTTCCTCTCTGTCTCTCCTCTCTGTATATCCGCCTTTCCAATAAAAAATAACAAAAAAAAAAAAAAAAAAGAGAATTAAAAAAATTAAATCTTCAAACTAAATTTGCTGTAACTATTTCTTTTGACATTGTATAGAACTCTATTTTTCACAGTACTTCTCATTGATCAATGTTAAGACTATGGAAAATATTTGAGAGATTGCATTGAGTAATTTTAAAGATATAAAACGATAATTTTACAGTTTTTTCTTTTTCTAGCGATTGTCTTTGTTCTTAACAATAGTGCATATTACAATTGTATTAAAGTTGGAGTTAGTTGAGGTCTGATAATTTTTTCCTAAACTTTTACTCTTTGCTATTTCCTTTTTTTGTTACTCTGGTCTCATTTCTTAATACATATTCTCCGTTAGCATAAATATCATTTATTTCTGTAGATTAGTTTAGGAAAATTAAACAATTAATGCCAATAGGGGATAATAGCTTATTCTTCTTTGGAAGGTATTAGCTTATGGAAAAAATGTAATGTTTTCTCTTTTGCTTCTGTTTTAGAGCTCCTCATCTGGGTAGAGAACTCGTGTGCAAGGAGAGTAAGAAGACATTTAAAGCCACGATAGCCATGAGCCAGGAATTCCCCTTAGGAATTGAATTGTAAGTTTGTTCCTAACTGTGTGTGTTTATGAAAGAAGCAGTTAGACCCTATAAGGGATAATATTAATTGTATCTTAATTCTGCAGTTGAAAACTTAAAATTCCCTTCTTCTGGGAATTTTTTAGTTCATAAAAATATTAATGTTTTTATAATTTCAGCAGACACATTTTTGTACAGTTGTTTTTTGTATGAAAGGAATTCATGAATACATACTGTTGCCAGCAACAGCCCAAACTAGTTGGAATTGTTGATGTAGGACCCCCCAAACTGGTCCCCTTATTAAACTCTTAGAAAACCTATCACTGACATCAGGGTGCTAGCACAAAGTAGTTATTTACTGCAAATTACAAAGCAAGGAGCCAAGAAATGGTGGCTTATTTTTCAAGCTCCCTGAGGAGTTAGGGGTGAAAATTCTTATAGATTGAAATTGGAGCTAAAAGGTACTTGATCTATTAGTGTGCAAGTGTCTGATGGATCAGTCGTGCTCATGACCTTGCTTTGGTTGGTGATGCTAAGCTCTAGGGAATTTATAATGGCCTGGTGGGCTCCAACTGGACTGGGAGTTAATACAGTTAGCAGTAACCTTTTGTCCTAGACTTGGAATCTCCCTATCTGGACCTGAAATTTCCCAAAACAAACCCCTGCAAACAATACTAACCATCAGGTTTTATCAGTTGGAGCAGTAAATAACTTCTTGAGTCCAGGGATGAGAACCTTGTTGAGTGGTGTGGGCGGCATTCTGGTAAAGGACGTAAAGCCCCTGCCTGTGGCGCCACTATTCCTTCTGGAAACCAGATCTTGTCCTGGATATCCAGCTTCTGAGCAAGCTCCCTGGTTTATCCTTTTAGGACTGGAAAAGCAATTGAAGATAGTACAAATACTTGGGGCCCTGCCACCCATATGGGAGACCTGAATGCGGCTCCTGGGTCTTGGCTTCAGCCTGGCCCGGCACTAGCTGTTTCAGTCATCTGGGGAGTAAACCAGGAGATAGTAGATACTTCTCTCTCCACATCCATGTCTCTGTCTCTGTCTCTCTCTCTCTTTCAAAATAAATATTTTGTTTAAAAAAAGAACCTTGTGCCCTGCGTGATGGCATAGTGGTTAATGTCCTTGCCTTGCACGTGCCCGGGATCCCATATGGGCACCGGTTCTAATCCCGCAGCCCCACTTCCCCTCCAGCTCCCTGCTTATGGCCTGGGAAAGCAGTCTAGGATGGCCCAAAGCCTTGGGACCCTGCACCTGCGTGGGAGATCCGGAAGAGGCTCCTGGCTTTGGATCGGCTCAGCTCCAGCCGTTGTGGCCGCTTGGGGAGTGAATCATTGGACGGAAGATCTTCCTCTCTGTCTCTCCTCTCTGTATATCTGCCTTTCCAATAAAAACAAAATAAATCTTTAAAAAAAAAAAAAGAAGAAGAAGAAGAACCACCTTGTTGGGCCGCCTATGTAATTCTTAATTCAGTGAAATCCTTTTGAGAAATAGCAGACACCTTGGACTAAGGATGACGTGAGAGGCTGGGTGCTGCTTTTATATTATAGGGGTTCACTTTGAGTACTTGCTGTGGAGTCTAAAAGTAGGGAAGTTCATTGAATAAGAAGTGATAGTCTTTTATCACAATTTTATGATCTGTTTTTATCTAGACCTTTTATGTTTTACATCTTTTATAAAAATGAGGAATATTAGTCTGTTCCATGCTTCATTTAAAAAAATTTTTTCATATAGAATTCTTACAGTAATCACATTCTTGTCTATTATTTTCCCTGAACATAATAATTTTTTTTTTACTGATAAACATTTTGATAGTTGGCAGCTTGATATATTATGAACAGTATGACAGTGAACAACTTGCATCAGTGTTTCAAATCTATATTCATCAGCTGTTATTTTTTTTTTCCTTTCCTATCTCTGTTTCTCTGTCCCTGTTTCCCTTCCCTTCTGTTTCCATTCTGTTATGTTCCATTCCTCCTTTCTTTATTCCTTTTTTCTGTGTTTTCTGCTCTTTCATCCTTTGGCAGAGTGACTGAGAGTGAGAGAGAGATCTGTATGCTAAAGGCAGAAATCGAAGGAGAGAGGTTGACAGACACAGACAGACAGACAGACAACTCAAGGTCTTGTATCTGTTCATTCATTCCCCATATGGCTACAACAGCCAGGGTTGGATCAAGATGAAGCCAGGAGCCAGAAACTCCATCTGACTCTCCCATGTAGGTAACAAGAGCCCAAGCACTGAGCCATCATCTGCTGCCTTCCTCAGGTGGTTGGTAGGAAGCCGGATAAGAAGCAGTACAGTTGGGACTCAAGCTGGCACTCTGATATAGGATGCCATGCAGCAATACTGGCCCTAGATGTATCCCTCTCTCTCTCTCTCTCTCTTTTTTTTTTTTTTTTTGGTTAATAGAAAAGCACTTTGGAGAGATGAGTGCAAGTAAGGTGGGTAGTAGAGCTGATTCAGAACTATGGTTTCAGGCTCTTCCCTAAAGTTATGGAGGGGCATGTTGAAGTTCAGCCTGTTTTCTATTTCTACTTCCTTCTTCTTCAAACCTGATAAAATACAAATAAAAGTTTGAAGTCGAAATACACATAAGACCCTCATTTGACTTTGCCCTAAACTCAAAACTTTAGATGGTGGGTAAGATGTTTTATACCTCCACCAACCTATAGGCCTAAGAGTCTCATAATAATTTCCATACTTAGAAATCTGCTACAATTCTTTTTCTTTAATTTTATCATTTTTTAATGCTTACATAGCTGAGAAGGATGTATGACCAGATGGGCCAGGTCAAGCAGCCTGTTGGGGAGGGTCAAGGCATGGAGGAAGGTGGGTTGGACAAATGTTTCTTTTTATTTTTATTTTTCTCCTGAATCTTCAAGGGAAGGGAAGAGGGAGGGAGCATTCCCTGCAGTCAAACTACATCAGCACCCAGAAATGGGGGATGGCCACTTGATGCCATCTTAGAGACCCTAACATGAGAAGGAATGTTGCAAGGGTGTTACTTGAATGATTTTGATAATTCTGAGACATTGTTGGTTTCATTGCTTCAGAGTTGAAAAAAATCTTTCCAAAGTCTATTGTTTGACCAACTCCACTTTAGTGCATACACCCAGACCTTGTTGCCAAGGCTTGGCCAGGAGAGTCATCTAACTTGTTCTGCTTTCCATCCTCTGATAAGGCACTTGACACCTTCTGCAGGCCTGGATGAATTGGCTATCATGTGCCCCCATATGCATCTAGGCATGCTGTCCACTGCTCAGGCATCAGCAACTGAGGAAACCCATTTCAGACACAGGCACTGCGAGGCTGGAACACATCTATTATGATATTCCTTGTGGCCAGAGTTTGAGTCCAGTAATCTAGTTAGGGAGTTCCCCAAGGAACCTTGGCTGAGGTGATTCCAGCCTGACCCTAGCATAAACTAGCTAGTGTGGGGTCTGGTTCAGTCCATCACCCACATCAGTCTATGCACACAGCAGTGAATGCAAGTTGCCTGGTCAGTTCCGCCCCCAGCTCCATCACCTATACCAATCCATGAGTGCTGCAGACTAGCCCAACCCAGCCTGCTACAAACTTAGCCCTTAGGCACACTTAGGAACTACAGCCTAGTCTGGACTACCCCCAGTAACCCTTACCAGGCCTAACCCCAGCCACTCTTCCTTTGTATGCCAACATGTGCAGTAGACTAGCCTGACCCTTCCTGCATCCCATATGGATGTCATACACACCCATGGGTGCTGCCGTGCAGTCCTCCCTACCCCATGACCCAGTCTACATGTATGCTAATGAGTGCTGTTGCCTTGTCTAGCCCTGGCTCTCATGCTTACCAGTGGGAGCTGCAGCCCAGTAGAGGAGTACCCAGTTTCCCTACTAGGTCTGTTTCCTGCCCCAGATCTTATGCTTATCAAAGTATTTGGCAGTCCACCCATACATGACTTGCACCTAGTCCTGGCATCTCACATCAGATGCTGCAATGGAACCCTGCCACGCCACATTTACTCTGGCTCTTGAATGCACCAGTGGATGCAGTAGCCTGGCTTAGTCCAGCCCTCCCCAAACCCAGCTAACCAGTGGATTGATGGCTGTTGCAGCCCACCCAGACCAAAACCACCTCGAGTGAGAGCAGTGCTCTAGCAGGATAGTCTCTGAATCTCCCTTACCAGGCTTGCCCCCAGCCTGAGGTGTGTGCCAGTGGGTGCTGCGGTCCAGTATGGCATGGCCTGTCTCACCTAGACATTCACAGATACGGGAAGATAAAAGGGGATTGAAGGCAGTTGTCTCATCCACTTTCCCCCATTCCCTGACTCTCTTCCTTCTAATCATTGGTCCTCAGGGGCATGCATCCTTCTCATCTATGTAAACCTCAGCAAAAATAAAATAAATTCATTATTAGAACATTTTAGTACAAAGTAATTGATACTAACAGTATTATAAAATGAGTAATTAGAAACAAATGTGAACAGAAAAGTAGCTGATAATTAAATTTAGTAAAAAGAATAGGAGACAGAAGGCATGTAATTTTGTGTATAGTTTGAAGCATATAGTTATAAAACAAGATACAGACACAAATAAATCAACTTGAACATTGAAAGCATTTTTTTTGTTTCATTTTGCAGATTATTGAATGTTTTAGAAGTAATAGCTCCCTTCAAGCACTTTAACAAGCTTAGAGAATTTGTTCAGATGAAGCTGCCACCAGGCTTTCCTGTAAAATTAGGTAAGAAAAAATTTAGGTATCTGTGTGTGTTTATTAGAAATACAGAACTGTTTATTGGCATTTAGTAAATGATATAATAAAGGAAGATATGTTTTCTAGTTGCTTATATATTTGTTTTTCTATAACCATGTATATTATGGCAAATATATGAAGTGCCAAGTGAAGATTGTAATTCTGTTTGATTTGAAATAAATGTAGGGAATATGCAGGTAGTTTCTAAAGAAGATATGGATAAACTAATGATACAATGCAATAATATTTTAATAGGAAATAGACTCTAGTTTACCCAAAGTTTTCAGAATCCCTTAACCATAAATTCCTACATAGTGCAAATGCTTCAAAATAGTATTTGTACTTTATTTTTATGGACTCATTAAAGATTTAAACTTAATTTTACTTAGGCAATAATGTTTAGAAATAGGCAGTTCTCATTTTTTTGCACATATTTCTCTTTTTGACTTAGACAACTTGTAGCAAGATATTAATAGTTTAGGACTGTAGGCTTAGATTTACTTAAGCTTTAGGAGTGTCTTCAGTAGCATTCTTCAGCCTAGTCAAACCGTGCTTAGCTGGTGCTGACCTGTGGCAGGCAGACCCATCTAGAGATGGCAGATGGCAGTAGTTCCCTTGGTGTTCATGTTCTACTGGGAGAAAAAAGTACAGCACAACTATATTCTTGATATAATTCTTAGATGTATTTCATCTTCATTCATTCGATATTTTTAAAACTATATTTTAAAGAGTAATTAGGCAAACGTGGCTTACTTCCAGAAATAACATTTTCGTTGTTAAAAAATTAAGGACATTGGGCCCGGCGCGATGGTGCAGTGGTTAAGGTCCTCGCCTTGCACGCCCGGGATCCCATATGGGTGCCAGTTCTAATCCCGCAGCCCCACTTCCCATCCAGCTCCCTGCTTATGGCCTGGGAAAGCAGTTGAGGACAGCCCAAAGCTTTGGGACCCTGCACCCGCGTGGGAGACCCAGAAGAGGCTCCTGGCTTCGGATTGGCTCAGCCCCAGCCGTTGTGGCCACCTGGGGAGCTGATTCATCGGAAAGAAGATCTTCCTCTCTGTCTCTCCTCTCTGTATATCTGCCTTTCCAATAAAAATAAAATAAATCTTTTAAAAAATAAATTAAGGACATTGTCCTCGATTTTCATAATTTGGAAGTAAGCATTAAAATGGATTATAAAATGGTTTTAAAATGTCATTCTGGGTCCTCGTTGCCATATAGAAGCACTGGGAATCCATTGTGTGCTGAGATAGATAAGTGATTACATCTCAGTAGGAATGGTTAGAAAACAAAGCAATCAAGAGTTCTGTGTTCGAGCTAAAGGAAAAGGATTGTTGCTTAAGCATTTCTGCCTAACTTAAACCTCCACTGCCAATACTCACAAAGTATTTTGAGCTTTGGACTTCCTTCTAGGTGCTCATGATAGAAGACACAATGTAAAATAATTTGGAAGGCAGGGGATAAATAAGTGATTGAAGCGATCACAGTATTAAATTTCAAACCCAAGGGATGGTTTTGTGAGGTGGTGGGTAAAATTGCCCCCTGGGATGCCAATGTTCCAAATGGGTGCGGGTTCAAGTCCTTTATTGCTCCACTGCTGATCTGACTCCCTGCTAATGCACTTGAGAAAGTGGCAGCAGATGCTCCAGTCCCTGGTCCCTGCCACCCACCTGAGAGATCCAGGACAAGCTCTTGGCTGCTGGCTTAGTGTTGGCCCAGTGCTGACTGTGGACCTGTTTGCGGTGTGAGCCAGAGGATGAGAGATCGTTTTCTCTCTCTTTGTTTTTTAATTGATTACATTGCATTATGTGACACAGTTTTATAGGATCTGGGGTTCCCCCCAACCCTTGCCAACCACCCCCCATGGTGGATTCCTCCACCTTGTTGCATTACCACAGTTCAAATTCAGTTGAGATTCTTTCATTGCAAGCAGCTACCAAGTATAAAGTCCAGTATCTTATTGTCCAGATAAGTTCAGCAGTTTGTTGATGAGACCATCTCTGGTCTGAGGGCAGAGCCAGCAGAGTATCATCCCGATCAATTAAAAGCCCCAACATTACATCAGTAACAATTTATAATGTTATGGAATTAGTTGACATGGTATTGAGTAACCAACATGTTAAAAGAAAGGAAAAAAAATAAAAAGAATGCAGGTTCTGAACCCCATCCTGTGACTTCTGCCTTTCAAATAAATTAGTAAGTTCTTTTTAAAAAAAGTTTCCAGCTCAAATTAGCATCATAATACAGTATGTATTCTTATGCAAAAAAGATGCTTTTATTATACAAGAAGAAAAAATCCACACTTTTTTGCAGAAATTTTTCTGATGCAAAACCCCATTATTTATTATTTTTTACTTATTTTTAAAATTAACTTGAAAGGCAGAAAAAGAGTGAGTGAACTCTTTTCTATTGATTTCATTCTCCAAATGCCCTGTAATGTGTGACTGGGGTTCATTTGGGTCTCAGATCAGAAGCTGGAAACTCAATACAAATCTCCCAAGGGAAACAGCAGAAACTTGGTTACTAGGCCTTCAGTTGCCTCCTCTCACTTCCTGCATTGGTGAGAAGTCAGAATCTGGAGATGGGAATTAAACCCGCATACTGATGTAGGATATGGTTGTCTCACCTGCTAGGCCACACAACCCACCCCAGAATTGCATTCTTCACAAGGGCTAGGTCATCCTTTTTTTTTTCCTAAGATTTATTTTTATTGCAATGTCAGATATACAGAGAGGAGGAGAGACAGAGAGGAAGATCTTCCATCCGATGGTTCACTCCCCAGGTGAGCACAACGGCTAGAGCTGAGCCAATTCAAAAGCATGAGTCAAGAGCTCTTCTGGTTCTCCCAAATGGGTGCAGGATCCCAAGGCTTTGGGTCGCCCTGGTCTGCTTTCCTGGACCACAAGCAGGGAGCTGGATGGGAAGCGGAGCTACCAGGATTAGAACTGGCGCCCATATGGGATCCCGGCCCGTGCAAGGCGAGGACCTTAACTGCTATGCTATCACACCGGGCCCTAGATAATCTTTTGCTCATATGCTTGAAGTTAAGAGAAAATTGTTCAGCTATTCTGTGTTTTTATTCTGCTTTTGAACCAATCCTGTGTAACTCCATCCCTGGGTTGGTGTAACTTTTCAACATTTCTGTTTCTACATTATAAAAGTAATGGACATTATCATATTATATGGTTTTTGAATTAGGCAGCACTTAATGTTAGGTATGATTATTTCTCTGGTTCTCTTCCTTTCTCATACTTCTCAAACATCAACTCTCCATTCTCTACTTCCTTCTGTACTATATTCAGACCATTCTTACTTCCTGTATTGAAAAAACAATAGCTGTTGGAGATGAGAACATGCTGTATAGAATTTCCAAAGGCCCATTTTCTCCTCCATTTTTGCTATTTAAGTAGAAGTGCTGCCACTCTTAACTTGAATAATCTTTTCATTTTCTCTATAAATTGTCTTCCCAATTCATAAAAACTTGCTGGTGATGAGGAGTGGGTTTGGTTACCATTTGGGAAATCCACATTCCGTGTCAGAGTTCCTGAGTTTGAATCGCACTTGTACTCCTGACCTCACCCAGAAGCTGGCTTCCAACCAGGCTTCCAGCAAATGCGCTGTGCCATGGGGCCAGCGGATGAACCAGGGGCCGGGGCTCCTGCCGCCTGCCTGGGACAACTGAACGCTGTTCCTGAGCTCCACACTGAGACCAAGCCAGCCCAGGCTTTTGTGGGCATGTAGAGAGAAAATTAGTAGATGAAAGGTATCTCTTTTTGTCTCTTTGCCTTTTAAATAAATAAAAATAAATAAGCATTTGCTTATTTTATGTATAATTAAGGTTTATAATTACACAAAATATTGTTTCCTGTAATGAAAAATGAGGGATATAATAAACTAAATTCAAAACATTCTTATGCTACACAAACCCTTGAGTTAGTATTCATAGATTACTTTCCTGTCCTGTCCAGCAGGACAAGTCAACGGGGGACTTTCAGGGTTTATTTTATAAATTAAATGGCTGAGGCTCATGATGTTTTATGATGTATGCTTTTTCCATTAATAAGGACTACAATTAACCAGAGAGATTGCTGTGTTTGCCCATTTTCAGTGTCAGATTTCATGTGTGATTTCAGTTTTATGCTGGAGTGATGTGATATTTCTCTTTTTATTTATTTATTTATTTTTAAGGTTCATTTATTTTCATTTAAAGGCTCTGTTACAGAATGAAGAGAGAGAGAGAGAGGACTTCCATTTACTGGTCACTCCCCAAATGGCCACAATGGCCAGGGCTGATCCAGTCTTAAACCAGGAACCAGGAGCTTCTTTTGGCTCTCTTACTTGGGTACAGAGTCCCCAGGCTGGAACTGGAGGTGGAGGATTAACACACTGTGCCACAGTGCCAGTGCCTACGTTTAGTGTTTTGAACAAAAAATGATTCTTCATTTGGATTGCTAATAATAAAAATAAATGGACTCAATAAGTCACAGTATTATGTAGACCATACAGTGAAGGAAGCTGTTTAGATGCAAAAAGTATAAGTGTAAGCAGTTTCTTTGCCTCAAGAAAAAGCAAAATGGAATGGTGGCATCTGGCATTGCATTTTTAAGACTGGCAGCAGGAATGAGGTCCTGAATACAATTCCCGCGACTCCAGTGTATTTCCCTCTTTGCCAGTATCCAGACTCTGCTCCAAAGTGCATTAATGCTCAGTTTCAGACATAACTTAGGAATTTCCAGGTACCTGAGTGATTTTCTTTTTTTAAAAAATTTTAAGGCATGTGGACTTATGATGCTTTCTGGTCTATATGTCAATTAATGTTTGATTTTACAGTGTTATCATTGTTCTGTCTGTAGATATACCTGTGTTTCCCACGATCACAGCCACTGTGACTTTTCAGGAGTTTCGATATGATGAATTTGATGGCTCCATCTTTACTATACCTGATGACTACAAGGAAGACCCAAGCCGTTTTCCTGATCTTTAACTCGCTGAAAAATGATACCACCTACCCAGGAAGAAAACTGCAGAGAAGCCACAAGTGAATCTAAACAGAAGGGACAAATGCTTTCACCGAAGAAAAGGGAATTCATTACACACTGGACTGCCACATCAGTGACATGATAGCGGACACGGGCCCCTCATAAGAATTCAGCAAGTTTTCTGATGTGCCATTTTTGGTCTTTTTGAAAATACAGTTATTATAAGCTTAATAGTTTGACACTGTAATGACCCCAAGACCTTCGTATGTAAAGCAGCTATGAGTGCTGTGATTTGTTTTTAAACATTTTTACACTTCCTTCTTGTTGAAATATATATGCATATAAATATATCTATATCTATACCTAAAACACTCCTGGACCATTAACATAAATTAATGTCTTAAGAGATATGAAGCCCTTTTAAACTTGTCATCTTATATTCAAGGTGACATTTATAAATATTCCTTCCAGCTTTGTTTTCATAAAATGTAAACTATGTAACATTATGTATAGTTCAGTAATTTGAATGTTTGTTCAATATAATGAACTAGAAGGAATGCAGATTTCTGTAGACGAATGAACCAAATGGCAACCATTAAACAATTGCATTTCTATGTTGCAATACATTTCAGAAGGAGCGTTCACTCTGCAGGGAATAAGGTACCTCCTTTAGCACCTGAGTGCAATTCATTGTGGTGCTATTTGTTTTTACCTGAATTCTTTCTTCAATGGAAAATGTTTGTTACTAATCTTTCTTTCATAGAACCTCTATTTTTTTCCTACTCCTGAGTTCAGAGTCCTTGTTATGTTCATGATAAGGTACGGTTGGCATGCTTACAGAAAGTCCTCTTTCAAATTGCACCACTTTCAAACAAATCCAAAATTTTAAACTTGCTTCCTAATAAGTACAGATTGGTCTAATTATTTAGTTTGTTTTTAGTGGAATATGGATGCACTAATATCAGTTTTAAAAACAGCATACATATTTTGGACAACCCTACGTAACACATTTGAAGATTTCAAAATAAGGTAATAACATTTTATATGCTAACAAACTATATTTGTAACAAGTTAAAGTCCAGAAGCATATATGAGAATGATGATACCTATTGCTTATTTTTTTTAAGTCACAGGGAAATATTTATGGATTTTAATTATCTCCAATATCTCAAAATCATGTATTACTCACTTTTACAACTTAAAATTTTTCATATTTATTCCAAAATGGTTTGAAGGTCCAAGAATGAAAATAAATTAGGGGGAATAATGTTTAACAGTTATAAAGTGTCATGCGTTTTGAAGCGCTTAGCTAAATGCTTTTAAAATGTATCCTAATGACTGTCAAGAATGCTTCTGTCACATTTTTTTAGAATGATCAATAGTTTCAACTTTTTCTAGAATTTTAGATAATTTCAAATGAGTTTAGAGACCTTTATTTAAGAGATAATTTATTTAAAAATCCAAAGCATCAACCATAAGAAAATGTTTTTAATAAATATCTTTAAAGCTGCATTTATCTATACTGATACATAAGTGGGATTTGTTGAAATTTGATTAAATACATTTTATAAGGAAGAAAAAGAACCATAGTTAAAAATTCAAAGACCTCATTATTACCTTCAGTGGGTCTGTTGAATTTTGTGGAAAGATTTGTTAAGCCCAGACTTGCTTATAGCTCCTCACTGTTTACAGAATGGTTTAGATCAAGTGACACAGAGTCCAAATTACCATGTCAATCAAGTTATAGGAAGTTTGAGAACCTGAGAGGCAATGAGGATTGCTTTCAGTGCCCTCTGTTGCAGTACGGTATTCTTGCAGGCCTATGTTGTGGATTTTTAATATGTACACACAGCTTAGGGAGCAAAAGGTGGTAAGTTGCAGCTTGAGGTTTATCAATTTCCTAAATGATGTGAGTATTCTGCTGGGGTACACTGGAGCTAGGAAGACTACTGAAAATTTTGTACTTGAATTTAGTTTTTCAGCTTGTCTTTCTTTGAAGAATAGTAGAAACGAATTCTTCGTTTCAGATTGTCATCTCTGATCACAAAGAACAAATATCAATTTCTCTTACATTGGTGGAAAACACTCAATGCAAATAAACTTTTCACAAAATTAGATTTTTCCAAATGTGTCTTTTATCCAGTGGATGAACTATACACTATCAAGTAGATAGGTAACAAACAATATACTTTCTTGTTTTTAATTTAAAAAATCTTTTTATTATTTATTTTAATAATGAATTTATTATTTTTGCTGAAGTTTACATAGATGAGAAGGATGCATGCCCATGAAGACCAATGATTAGAAGGAAGAGAGTCAGGGAATGGGGGAAAGTGGATGAGACAACTGCCTTCAATCCCCTTTTATCTTCCCGTATCTGTGGAAAATTGGAAGAGAAGAAGAGAGGGCCACTTCCAGCAAGCCAACTGCATCACTTAACTGGGAATGGGGGACAGCCACCTGATGTCATCCCAGGGTCCCTGGTATGGAGCATGTTCTGAGGATACTGCTTAAGTGGTTTTGATCATTCTGAGATGCTGTTGATTTTGTTGCTCCAAGGCTAAGGAAATCCTTGCGAGATTCATTAGCTGACATAGTCCACCTTAGAGTCTCAGTTCATTCAGATACTCACTGCCAAAGGTTGGCCAGAAGAGCTGTCCAATTTGTTCTACCCTCCATGACACAAGATAGCATCTGCTCTGGGCCCTGATGCACACCAGCAGGAGCTGCAGCCTAGTCAGAGTGATCCCCAGAGAGCAACCCCCACCAGGCTTACTCTCAGCCTTGGTTCCTACACATGTCTGTATGTGCAGCAGACTGGTCCAGTCTGTCCCACATCCCATTCTGCTCTTGTACACATCAATGGGTATTAGAGCCTAGTTCAGTCCAACCAACCCCACTGTCTAACCCACAATCATGCCATTGGGTGCTGTCGCCTATCCAGCCAGGTCCACCCCCAGTCCTGGTTCTCATGCTTATTGGTGGGAGCTGCAGCCCATCAGAGGGGTGCTCATAATTACCCTATTGGGCACATTCCCAGTCCTACATCTTGCACTTTCCAGGTGGTCCTGCAGTCTAGCCTGACAGGACTTGTTCCCAGTCCCAGTATCTGTTAGCCAATGCTACAGCAAAGGCCAACCTGGCTGTCTTACTTTGGGTCATGCCTGCACCAGTGGATGGTCATTTAGCACAGCCTTGTTCTGCCTCTAACCCAGTCCGCATGCATCTCCCTTAGCTAACTGCAACAGCAGTGGCCTGTTCCATGGAAGACCTCCCATTCCAATGTATTCCCAGACCCCCTCCCTGGTTGATCTGTATCCCCTCATCCTGGAAGCCAGAGTGGTGGGTCTTAGCCTGAAGTTAACAGCCTTACCCTCTTATGTTTAAATAAATAAATGAATAAATAAATAAATGAAAAGGAAAGGGTGTTGGGGAGAACCATAAGCAACTCTGCCGATATGCTGGTATAGTTAACACCAGTTTGGCATTAACCAGGTCCTGAATAATGCTTGCTGCTACTGGCTGCTTATCTCCTAGCAATATAACACTTGCCTAGATACAAAGGCAATCTAGGCAGTTGCCTATAACTGGGGCACAAAGCCATATATTTTTCATAATCTCACATGAAAAATCAAAATTTTACAATGTAAGTATGTGAAATTTTATATTCCCCATATTTGTGACTTTGAAACTAAATTGGAGCAGAGGTGACAACCGTTTTTAAAAAATGGTTTTATGTAAATTGACTTGAAGACAACATGACAGTACAAACTCTTGCATCCACTGGTTCACACCCCAAAAGCTTCCAACTGCCAAGGCCGGTCAGGCTGAAGCCAGGGAAATGGAATGCTTTGGTCCCGGAATCCACTTGTGGATCTGGAAACAGCTCCTTGCTCCTGGCTTCAGCCTGCTCCATCCCCAGCCATTGATACTATCTGGAGAGTGAACCAGAGGATGAACGATCACTCTCTGTCTCTGTATAGCTCTGCTTTTGAATAAATAATTTATTTTTTTGTAGATTTATTTATTGTTATAGCAAAGTCAGATTTACAGAGAGAATGAAAGACAGAGAAAGATGTTCTATCTATTGTCTCACTCCCCAAGCAGCCACAATGACTAGAGCTGAGCTGAGCTGAAGGTAGGAGCCCGGAGATTTTTCTAGGTCTCCCATGTTAGTGCAGTGTCCCGAGTCCTTGGATCATCCTCTGCTGTTTTCCCAGGACACAGGCAAGGAACTGGAAGAGAAGTAGAACAGCCGGGATATGAACCGATGCCCATGTGGGAGCCCGGTGTGTGCAAGGTGGGGACTTTTGCCGTTAGGCTACCGTGCCAAGCCCTGAAATAAATAATTTTAAAACCCTGTTTTTAAAAGAGGAAAATTAAATTAATTTTAGCTACTGCATCTAATATGTTAGAGTTTGAAAATGAGTGAAAAATTAAGCAGATTATAATGGATACAATATATTTTATTACATATTTTTATAATATAATCATATTAACTGCTGTTAAATCTAGCTAAAGTATCTTAATCATGCTTTCTAAGATTCACAAACATATCTTTCCTAGAGTTGCTATATTTTGAAATTTTTGAAGCTTTTAAAGACAACTGGCAGGCAAAGGAATAGGAGATAATAAATAATAAATCAAATGTAAATACTACAAAACTAATTGATGAAAGCCCCCTTGATTTGCACAATATGAATCAACAAAACTTATTTGCATTTATGTCAAAAATTGAATTGGTAGTATCTTTCTCACATAAAAGTTTCATGTCAGATCTTATTTATTTTTTAAAAAATCATGCCCCTGTGTTTGCAAATATTGCTTTGTGATGAGCCTTTTAATTGATAAAGTTCATTTTAAATTTATACTTTGTTGCACTGGCATTGGTTAAAAACAATTAAAAATTAATACAAACACTTTAAAATGTTGAATTAAATTTACTTAGCGTATTTTTGGAACATTATTACTAGTTGTTTTACTAGTTGTTACTATGTTTTGCTAAGTGAAAAGGACTTTAAATAGTTTACACTAGAAATACCATATATATCAACACTAAACCAAAACCCAAAAACTAAAACCCACCACTTTCTTTTAGCCATTTCCCATATGTGGGGCTCAGGGGCAAGGGGGTCACTAAGTCAACAAGATGGCGACTAACAGTAAGGTGACTGGGTTACACATTGTGAGCAAGATGGCGGCCAAGGACAGAGCCCTGGGCATAGACCAGGGCAGGAGTAAGTCGTTTCAAACAAAGACTGATTGGTCAGGGCCATTTTGCTCACCTACGCTGGCTTATGGGAGATGGCTTCTGCAGTCATACTCCTAGTAATTGGCTCCTTCTTCTCCCCTCCTGGAATTCCTGAAATTCCTGGCCTGAAGCTATTCCTTGCCCTATATAAGAATCTGTACTTCCCAAATAAATCGGAACTGCTGGCGAGAATCCCTGTCTGACTGTCTCTTGCATGCCAGGAGGCTGGGTGGCAGGCAGCAGGCTCACCCCCTCCAACAACGGGGTACTAGAGGAATCTGTGGGGGAGACCCCGCACCCATATATATAATCCCTGATCACTAAAGAAGGTTGACAATGACTTGCTGAAAATTTTTGTTTCTAATACACACTGATGCACATATGCTATTTGAAATTACACAATAGATGCCTCACCTCCCTGGATTCTTCAGAATCTGGGCTAGTTGTGTGTTGCTCCATGAGGCAGTGTCCTTGCTTTTGTAGAATGCTCATGTCACTGAGGTCAAAAACAACATAAACTGAACAGAATTTCAATCCATCTTTGCAGTTTCCTGGTTGCTCCTGTGGTTGATTACAATGCACTCTTACTGGCCTGACCATAATCAATTAACCATCTCCCAATCCCAGCTGCATCAAACTACAGCAACCTGCACAAAGAAAGCCTTAGACCACTTAACAAGCTCCCACAACTCTTAATGTCAAACCCAGGTTTAAAAAAAAATTCTAGTAGTTCTACTTACAGAATGGATCTTGACTATTCAATTCCACTTTACTGAATCAATCTTGATCCTAACATATAGACCAATATATTAATTTGGCATAAAGATAAAAGCATACCTAGTCCGATGCTAATTTTGTCAACTTACTGAATGGTAAAGGTTTTAGATTTATTATGTTGTTGTTAATTAACATTTAGAAAGTTAAAGCAATTTATCTATAGTAGAGGCAGAAATGTTCTTTAAAAATACATCTGTGGGTGGGTCTCAGGATGGGTCATCTCATGCCTGGATCCCAGACGCCAGTCACTATGTGCATGTGGTGAGCTGTCCCTGAGCCTGCCTGGGCTCCAGGGGCTGCTCCCTTCGAGGTGAGTACACTGAGGGGGGAAGTCTCCGTGACTGGGCAGGTCTAAGGCCCACCCACCGCCCTCATTGGGCTGTGAATAGGATTGGGGAGGGGCGTGACCTTGCCTCCCAGTTGCTGGTGAGTCTCAGGATGGAGCGTCTCATGCCTGAATCGGAGATGCCAGCCACCACATGCACGTGGTGAGCTGTCCCCGGGGAGCCAGTACGCCATTTGGTGCCAGGCTTCACCTGCTGGCTGTCTGGCTGGGACCTCTGGGATTTTCGTTCTTTGAATCGCAGCTTAGGTAGCTTCAGGTTGAACCCACTGTGCTTCTGGGACGTGAAGCAATCCTGAAGATTCCTAATGACAGTAACTTTTCCTTTGAAGAACTTATAATCATTGAACAATGCTGACCACCAAACACCAGTCCATGCAAAAGCTATAGCTCAGGGCTTGTCCAGCAGAATCATATGCTGTTACCTGACATGATGATGGAACAGGAGAAGGGTCACATTATGCAGGGCCATTATATTAACTAGCACTCGAGAACCATAACCGGGGGTAGATTCTGTGGGGGATGTGTGGGCCAAACCCTGTGGAAATTCTAGCCCCACTGGTTAGCTCAAGAGTTGGGGTGGTGATGGACTAAGCTAGGTATGACCAAGGAGCCTGCCATCAATCACAGGTAAATGAACCCACAGCAGTCTGGACTGGTCAAGGCAGCAGCACCCAAATGTGCATCCTGAATAGGGTGTGGGGTGGGCCGGGCTGCAACGTTCACTAGCTCATACATCAAAACCACTTGAGCAAGAACCTCGGAGCATACCCTACATCCGGGACCTGGGGAGGGTGAGAAACTGGGTGGGCCTTCTCCATTAATGTCCCCCTATAAACATGAAGGAAACAATATGGAAATAATAGTCTTACCCTCTTACCCACTTTCCTATAGCCCTTGAACCTTTCACCCTAATTAACTATGTAAAGATTGTCAAAAATAGAATAAAAAAAAACAAAATACATCTGTGATAACTGAATGATATTTTTTGTTCATATTTACTTAATATGGCAATTAGGGAGAAAGAGATGTTCTATTCACTGGTTCACTTCCCAAATGGTTGCAAAAGTGTGAAGTCATGAGACAGCAGCTTTATCTGAGAAGCTCATATACAAGTCCAAGGACTTGGGCCATCCTCCACTGCTTTCGCATGTACATTGGTGTGGAGCTGGGCCAAAGTGAAAAAGCCAGGATGCCTATAAGGGATGCTAGCATTATTAGTGTTGGTTTAACCCATTCTGCTACCACACAGCATCAAGCTTAAACCGTAAACTTAAACATGACTTGGGTCATTTCATTTATGACCTTAGTCTTTCAATTTTCAAAGCTCTAATAACATTGTAGCTAACTGCTTTTTGTGTGTATTATTTTCATGAGATTTTATATAATGTCCCTCCATATTATTATAATACTAGTCTGTCAGCAAGTCACAAGTCCACCAGTCTGTTGTTTAAGTGTATCTTGGCACTACAGGTATAGGCAATGGTGGAAAATCTAGTATCATATTGTCAAGGTACACGTAAGTTTCATTGGGCATCTTTCTTTTATATGGGAGTAGAGACGTATGCTGCAATGTATCTTCACTTCCTGAAATGCTAGTCTCCATTATACAGTTCATAGCTAATGTTTTGTTGTTGCCCTGCACTGCTTTACTTGACCACAAAGCCAGAAGAGGAGCAGCTGGGACACGAACTGGCACCCATATGGGATCCCAGCACTGCAAGATGAGGATTTGGTCATTGTGCCAGACCCAAAGGGAAAGGCGGGAAAGGCTTTTTGTAGTTTCATTAGAAAGGCAGAGATAGAGAAAATGATCCTCCATTAGCTTGTTATCTCTCCAGATGTCTACAGCAGTCAGGACTGAGCCAGGCCAAAGCCAGATTTCATCCAGGCCCTGCACATGGGTATCAGAAACCACCAAGTGCTCGTCTACCTGCTGCAACCTTCCCAAGGTGCATTAGCAGGAAGGTGGGGAATGAAGTTGAGAAAGCCATGAAACCTGACAGAGAGGATGCAGGGATAAAACCCCTTTGCCTAGCTCTGCTTAGAAAAGTACCATACTAATTTCAGTGATGCTGAATCATCTTCTAACAAATAAAAGTTTGGGGCCTGGCACAAAATCCTAGCAGCTCAAGTCCTCGCCTTGAAAGCACCGAGATCCCATATGGGCGCAGGTTCTAATCTTAGCAGCCCTGCTTCCCACCCAGCTCCCTGCTTGTGGGCTGGAAAAGCAGTTGAGGACGGCCCAAAACCTTGGGATCCTGCACCCCACGTGGGAGACTTGGAAGAGGTTCCTGGCTCCTGCTTTCAGATCCGTTGAGCTCCAGCCATTGTGGTCACTTAGGGAGTGAGTCATTGGATGGAATATCTTCCCGTCTCCTCTATGTACATCTGACTTTGCAATAAAAATAAATGTTAAAAAAAAAGTTTTGAAAAAGATGTGGATCTCTTATTTTAAAGTATTGTATCACACCTTTTCTCTGTAAATTCTTAGTTATTAAATATTTTGTTCTATACACGGGATATTGACTGTAGAATGACTTGAATGGTACTGTTACCTTGCTAGGAATTTCAGATATACAGACATAAATGAAAATGGAACAAAAATAAAGTAGTATAGACTCAACTATAGATATCTACAATCACCAGTCTGTCAGACTTCTCCAAAGAAGTGTAATTACTACTTCTGCTAATAAAAATCTTACAGAAAGATTTTTTTAGAACCAAAGTGCCAGTAGCAATTCCATTTTGTCCCACTGTCCAATATATAGAACTCTTTAAAAACATTAACCAATTTATAATATAAAAGTAACTGAAATAAGTCACTGATACAGAATTAAAAACTTGCAACTTAATGGGCTAACTTATTAAAAAAAACATTTCATATAGCACAGGTGTGAAATGGGTTAGTGTATTTACAGTGGAATAGAACCTGTTACACTTCAGAATTTTGTCTGAACACAGAACAGCATTGACTCCAAGTCCTTTATCTGGTACCCAAGAATTTTACAAGAGATGAAGTTATTAACATATAATACATCTTCAGTTTAGATGCTGCTCCAAGGTTTTTATTCCAAAAATCCATTATTAATACTAAGTATCTACTCATTTTAAAAAACATTTCAGAGAAAAATATAGAAATAAACCAAAACCCACCTTCACGAAAAGAGTGATATTTTTTACACTTACCAAAATTAAACATTCAACAGGCAGCATTCAGTGTTCCAAGCACATGTTTCCATGTCACTTTCATCTGCTGGTATACTCTTCAAATGCCTGAAACTACTGGGTTGTGCCAGGTTGAATCCTGGAGCACAAGCATTACTCCCTCTCTCCCATGTGAGTGGCAGAGATGCAGTAACCTAAGCCGCCACTACTACCCCAGGAGCCACGTTAGGAAGCTGGCTTCAAGGGTGGAGCAGACAATTGAATCCTGGTGCTAAGGTGCTGTGGGTATCTTAGACTGCTATGCCCAAGGCCTTTTATTTGGCCAACAATCTACTTGTATAGATAAGAATCACAGGGATCCCCACGTCTAATAAAACCCAAGACTGGACTTAAATCCTTTGACATCCTTTACCTCTTATCCACTCCTTTTAGCATTTTAAGCAAATAAATAAGGACAAACATTTTTCTAACAAAACCACTTTTATTTCATACAGAACAAAGCTCAGAGTGGAGGCAGTGTTCACTTGAATTCACTGCTTATCTTAAAAGGCTTGTGGCTTTGTGCAACACTACCTTGTATAGAAAATGTTCACTGAAATACTACAGATTCCTGTCACTGTACTGTCTTAAGTCAGTGGAACTACTTTAAAACCAGCAAGTTTCCCAGTCCTTGAAAAAAGGGAGAATGTCTGGATTCAGAGGTGACAAGCGAGGAAAGATTCCAAATATGAAAATTGCCACATGAAATTGTCAATGCTTTGAAAAAATGGCCATGTTACATCGTTCAATTTCATCTATTAAAAAGTGTTAAGTTTAAATGTCATCTGTGTTCAACATGTGATTTAAAAAAATGCAGTGATTAGGGCCAGCGCTAGAACTTATTAAACTCACTATAGACAAATATTCCTTTTGATAAAATCTTCTAAAAGTTACTACAAACTGTAAAAAACAGCGTTGCTTTTCTATATGGCATTTGAATTTTGAAGGTAAAAAAAATTTTTTGTCAAAACTTGGAAGAAAGCCAGGAAGCTACAATTCCAAGTCTCATTTTTCCTTATTCCCAGCCACCCAAACTTAACTCATTTAATGAATAAATATGCTATTTTGCACTATACAGTAGATACATGACAGCTTCTATGCTATTCCAGAAAAGGCAAATATTTATATTTCACTGAAAATATATAAACTTTCTAGATATAGCGGGATCACTGTATATCCTAAAGTTCATTGCATTATCCAACCCGATTCCTACACCCAAAATATAAGAAATTAGGTTGTCTAAGCTAAGGCTGCTTTAGATAAAAATTAATCATTTTTACAATTATAATGGCGACTATCAACTACTTAGTAATGGATTTTTATCTTCTTACTAAAACAAAGAAAGAAGTTAAATTTGTAAAACGACTGAGGTAAATGTCATACATTCAATTGCATAAATAAATACAAATACAGTTTTACAGGAACATGAACATAAGTTTAAGGGTTTTATTATCAAAGTCTTGTAAAACAATTTCAGAAACTGTACATCAACATGGCACAGACTGTAGCCTACTTCTGTATCTGCTGCACAAAAGTGAAGCTTGCAACTCGTGTAACTAAGAACAAGTTGCCTAACTACTTTGTATAACATGAAATCACTGTATGCATATGATCACTACTGTAATAACAGTAACACAAAATTTATTGGTTTTATACAACTTGAGATCAAATAAAAGTACATTATCAAGTGGATTTGTCTTATTTTAAAAGCATATGAAGTTCAATTTAAAATGCACTACCCCTTTTTCCAACAGTGAGTTTAAAACTTTGCAAATCAGAACAGTTAACTTTATTTTACAGAACTCTGAACAGGTGGATAGCTTTCACTGATGTAGAGATGGAATAAATTATTTTAGGAAAAAATATCATATCCCTAAACACCTAACGAAAAATTATACAACTCTACTTCAAATTACGCTATTTACCCACTGCGAAAGACAATTTTCTTTCAAATCTTATTTCTGTAATTAAACCCTAATCAGTCATCAAAAAAGGTTAGTGCATATACAACCTCTCAAAGTTAAACAAAAGCCACAAAAATTTAGCCATAAGGCTCAAAGGATCATTTATCGCAAATGCTCATTTCCAGATGTAATCTAAAAATATTAATTTCTCATGTTGATAAACAAGACCGTAAGTAGATCCATCATGGTGAAGGATTTTAATGACATTTAGGATATTCTTGCCACAGTAACATGCAATCAGTGCATTCCCTACATGGTGCTATTTCGGCAATGAATCAAATTTTAGAAATAGTCTAAATGAACTCACATAATAGGGAGATCATACAACATAAACAATCCATGCCTGCTGTAGATGCATGCAGCTTTTTCACTTTTGTTAAGAAGCAGCACCAGAATAGTAAAACTGCTTGGTTCTTCAATCAGCTTTCACCACACGAACTGTTTACCCACTACCACTTTCAAAAAGCCTTCTGATGTCAATACTACCACTGTCAGAAGCTTTATAACCTTTGAAACTCAGCTGTGTACATCTAGGTTTGAGATGAACAAATACAGCATTAAGAAATCACACAAAGGAATGACACTGATGCATGTGTACAGCTGCAGTCCGAGAGCGGCAACGCTCAGTCACTCATATCCATGTCTTCCTCATGATGATCATCCCCGTTTACTTTGGATTCTCTTAGTGCATCACCAGCTCCCTTCTCCACAGAACATTCCTTTGTTTTAGGTGAACTGGCTTCAGTTGGTTTCTTCTCCTCTTTTTTCTCTTTGTCGCTGTCATATCCCTGTTCCTCTTCATCGTAATCCCGAGTAACCTGCTTTGCCAACGAGAATAACAAAAGTAAACTTCTTCAAAGAAAAACCACTTCCTAAAAGTAGCAATACCAGCCCAAATACCAAAACAAGCTAGTTTTTAAACATACTTTTACATCTTTATCACTCTCTGATTTTCTTTCTCGGTCTTTTTCTTTATCTTTACTTTTCTTTTTCTTGCTTGTTGATCGTTCCCTTTCATCTCTGCTTCTTTCTTTGTCTTTATCTTTCTTCTTTTCCTTTTTGTGTCTAGAATGACAATTTAAAAAAATGTGCTTAAAATTATTTTAAAAGGATTATTTTAAATTTAAAATACAGTTACAGAGGAGAACAGAGAAGTCTCCCTTCCTGTGGTTCACTCCCCAAATGGCCACAATTCACCAGTGTAATTTGCATAACAGCTGCACTGGGCAGATCTGAAGTCAGGAGCTTCTTCTGGGTCTCCCACTTGGGGATAAAGGCCTAAAGACTTGAACCATTTTCTGCGGCTTTCCCATTCCATAAGCAGGAGTTGGAGCAACTGGGACACAAACCAGCAGTACCCATAGTGGACACGTTGGCAGAGGCCCTCAAAATAATCACTTAAAGTTAACTGCTCAGGATTTCACCCTGAAATGTAGCAACATATCTTATGGAGATGCCAACCTTGACCCAACATTCTCAAGATCAATTAGGAGAGCAAAGAAGCAATTTCAAAACACTGGAGTTCCAATCTTACAAAAGGTTCAAGACTCAAGTAATAAACATTTTAAGCCTCAGAAAACCATGGGAAAGTTTTAAAATTTGAAAATTCCTAAAAATTACAAGGAAATTTTAAATGATAAACACTGTTACCTCCTAGGGGATGGTGACCGTGACAATTTTCGTTTAGGAGACCTGGGTTTTTTAGGAGATCTTGTTCCACTCCTGCTTCGTCTTCGTCGTCTTTCTCTAAAATCACAAATGTGTGTATTATGCTTTAAAACACAGCATAATCTAAGCTTCACTAAAATCCCTACAGCATGACTAGAATTATGCATTCATGGAATAGAACACCTGCAAATTGTGTAGCTTTCCTTCCTTAGTTGTTTAAGACGACTTCTAATTACTGGCAGTTGTTCTTAAAGACATTCTGTTAAGTTCTAATTGAAGGAAGAAAAAGTCAGAAGTGAAAAAATAGTTCAAGTACTCAGTAGCCAGACAGCTATAGAAATAATTCAGTAATGCTGTGACATGGAAAGCAGTCACTAATAAAATAGAAATCAAATTGTTTCCCCATTCCATAGAGTTAGCTACCTTCTATCATTTAGTAATTTGTAGCATTTTGTACTTCTGTATCCCTGGATAAAACACAATTGTGAACACAGAGTAGGTATTTACAGAAGCTGAAAGATGTTTTAATTCAGGCAAAATAAGTATCACAAATATCCTAGTGGGTGTCACAGTGGTTTCTCATGGTGACTCTGATTTGCATTTTCTTGGTGGGAGGCCAATACTGCTGAACATACTTTTCAAATACTTGTCAACATTGGAATACCTTCTTTGGAGAATTGCCTGTACAGATTCTTTTCCCATTTTTAATTTGGTTGCTTCTGTTTGCAAATATTTTTAATCCTCTGTGGAGCTATTTTATATTTTATTTATTTGAAGGAGAATGACAGAGACAGTATCTTTCACATACTGGATCACTGTCAGCCTCAAAGGCTAATTGCATAGGCAAAAATCAGAATTCCCTTTCCTGATCTCCCACAAAGGTAGTAGGAACTGTACTCAAGCACAGAGATCAGAGTAGCTGGGACTAGAGCTAGCTCTCCAATTTAAGATGCTAGTGTTAAAACTTGTGGCTTAATCCCCTGAGCTACAATGTTGGCCTATCTTTACTTACTTAAGATATTCTTTGAAACACAGAAGTTTAATTTTGGTAATTGTTAACATTGTTGTTGCATGTGCTGGCATCACGCCTAGGAAACACTGCCAAACTCAAGGTGGTGAAAATAATATATCTGGGGCACAGTGTGACGCCTCAGTGGCTAAACCCTCACCTTAGGATCCCATATGGATGCCAGTACTCTGGCTCTGCTGCTCCCCCCCTTCCATCCAGCTCCCTGCATATGGTCTGGGAAAGCATTAGAAGATGGCCCAAAGCCTTTGGATCTGCACCCACATAACAGATCCAGAAGAAGCACCTGGCTTTAGATCGGTTCAGCTGTGGCCACTGCAGTCATTTGGGGAGTGAACCAGTGGACAGAAAATTTGTCTTCCTTCTCCTCTGTAAATCTGATCTACCTTTGCAATAAAAATAACTAAATCTTGAGTTTTGGTTCTTATAAGATGCTGTATAAAACAACACAAATCAGAACTTGAACTGCCTCAATTTACCAATGTAATTTGCATAAGTTACAGTGTACTTTAAACATTCAAACTTAACTAGGTTAAGATATAAAAACCGATCTGTTAAGCTTTGTGCTGATTCAAAATATTCTACATCTTAATATGAAGAACAAATGATATAAAGCTGAATTTTAGATTTTTCTTCACAAACTGGCCTAGGAAAATTTCCTATAATGGCAGAGCTAACTTTAATAAACACTGAAACATCCACAGTTGGGAAAACAATTCATGTACACAGGCTGTCGAGTCAAATTTGCAGGAAAATCAGGACCTTAATTCTAAAAAACAGTTGAAGAGGCAGTATCTCCTATATACTGCAAATAATAAAATACAAGAAATGATGGAACTCTGATAAACTTCTAATGAAATATTACCCCGATAACAATCAAAGCACAAAACAACACAATGGACAAATACAGATAACAGAGATGAAAAAATTAAATTTAGCAGGCAAAATCCCACGCAAACAGATCCTATATCACAATCAGACTGGATTTAACCAGGGATGCAGTTGGTTTAACATTTGCGAATCAATAAATGCCGTAAATCACATTAATGCAAAGAACAAAAGCCACTGTATCATGAGCAGGTGCAGACAAAGCACAGGAAGATTCAACATGCATGATAAAAACCTGCAACAAATTTGATACAGAAGGTACACACCTCAAAATAATAAAGACAAGATATGACAAACCTGACAAACCAACAATCCAAATCATACACAGGGAGAAATGCTGAAAGCTAGAATAAGATAAGGACATCCACTATCACCAGACTTACTCAATATATTATTGGAGGTATAAGAATAGTTAGCAAAAAGAAAGACATAAAGGACATCAACATTGGAAATGAGGTAATGAAAGTATCTGTGTTTGGAGGTGACATAATTTTATACACGGGATAACTAGAGTACCAAAAACCTTTAGAACTGATAAATCAATTCACTGAAGTTACTGACAATATCAACATTTAAGTACAGCATCATTTTTACACAGCAATTATAACTGTGCTGAAAGGGAAGTCAAAAGTGGTATCATTAATAACAACAATCTAAAAAGATTTAAGCTGAATACACTTAAAAATGGAAGTAGCTTAACCAAAGACTATCTCTACAATGAAAATTACAAAATACTAATGAAATAACCAAGTACATTTTTAAAAATGGAAAGATAAATTCTGTTCATGGACTAAAAGAATGACTATTACTACAATGTCCATATTATCTACACATTGCAGGCAATTCTTGTCAACTTATCAATGATATTTGTTATGGAACTGGAAAAAGAATGCTGAAATGCATAGGAAACCTGCAAAGACTCAATGGTGAAAGCAATCCCACACACACACACACACACACACACAGCAGAAAGCATCACAGTATCTGACTTCCTACACACCACAAAGTTATAGTAATTGAAAGAGCATATTATCGGCATAAACACTTTCAATGGAGCAAACAGCCCAGAAATTAACACGTGTACAGAGAGTAAAACCAAGTACTTTCTGACAACATACAACGGAAAAAGAAGAGCCTTTTCAATGAACAGTGCTGCCAAAACTGGACAGTATATTTGCTGACTTAATGAAACTGGAATATCCAGAAATCAACTAAAAAATCTTTAACTATGAAAATGCTTGAAGAAAACAGGGGAAACAGTTTGAGACATTGCAGTAAGCCATGATTTCTTCAGATCTCAAAAAGCAAACCTAGATAAATGGGATTATATAAACCAAGAAGCTTCTGCACACCAAAATCATTAACAGGTAATAATCAGAGAAAATATTCTGAGCTATTTATCTGACAAAGGTTGAATGCCCAGGATATAATAGAACACACAAACCCCAAAAATACAGAGTCAACAAAATCAATGAAAATGCTCATTACCACTATCCATCAAGATAATACAAGTCAAAACCACAGTGAGGTACCGTTTCACTCCTCTTAGCTCAGCTATTATCAAAGAGAACAATGTTGGTGAGGATGGGGAGAAACCAGGAACTTTATAAAGGTCTCACACGTGGGTAGCCAGCGATCTAAACATTTGGGCCATCATTTGTTGCCTTATCCCAGGCAATCAGCAGACAGCTGGATCAAGATACAAACTGGAACCCATGTGGGATGAAAGCATCGCAGGCAGTGAGCAGCTTTACTTGCTAAACCGCAATGCCACCCTTTTAAAAAAGCAACTCTTGATTCATAACCGGCAGGAATATAAATAGGTTCAGATATAGAACACAAGAGTATGGAGATTCCTCAAAGACTATAACCAGAACGGAGTTATGACCCAGCAGTCCCATTACTGCACATACATCCACAGGACATGAACTTACAGAGCATCCAAGAGATACCTGCTTCATCATTTTTATCAAAGTGCTGTTCACAAAAAGTCTGTTTATGAAATTAACCAACGGGTCCATCATCATATGAATGGATAAAGAAAATGTGGTACACAGACACAACTGAACACTATTCAGCTTTAAAAATACTGAAAACTGTGACATTTCTTAGTAAAAGATGGGAAAGGAGGACACTGTGTTGAAACAACACAAAGCAAGACATATATTACATATTCTCCTTCATATCTGCAAGTTATAACTGAAAAACCAATCTAACCTAATTTGAACACAGAATTTTGGCTGGGAGGGTTGGGAAGAATAGAAAGAGCCAAGACATAAAAAAAAAAAAAAAAAGTTTGAGGAATGTATGTGGTTCCTTAATTATGACAAGCTAACCTAAGATGTTAGTATGTTAGTAAGGGAAGTTGAGTGAGGAATAATGGAAAGTGTATCACTACTCACAATTTTTGCTTTGTAAACTTAAAATTATTCTGAAATCACATGTTTTTTAAACAGTGAAGAATGCATAATTCTGCCATACCTGCTTGCACTTCTAGAACGTCTGGCTGTACTGTAGCTTTTTGGTGGTGTTTTGGAACGTTTCTTTTCTTTGTCTTCTTTCTTTTTGTCTCTAATAAACACAATTAAAAAATACATTAAGAGATTAGTCCCTACTTAAAAAGTGCCTACAAATAAAAACAAAATAATCTCTTTTATCCTTTCAAAGTTTCATCCTGAAAGCATGAATTGCAACTCTGATACAAGTTATTTTTAGGGATAACAGTTTATGTGGCAAAAGGAGAGAGGTTAAAAAATTAAATGAAAATGGAATTAAAGTTTATTTTTGCACAAAAATGTGAGATCTATGCATAAGACAGATCCTCAGAGTGAGAACTTAGCAGTTAACTTTAAACAGGTATGCAGTTAACAAATACAAACCTGGGTACTCTAAGATATGTTTATCAAAAAGTGTTTTAGCTGCTAGGCCACTCTATCTCCTATTTTACTGTACCAAAGCAACTTCAATTCTACTTTTGGCATAAACTGAGTTGGAGAAGGAGAGACAAAGATCTTCTACATGTTGGTTCATTCCCCAAATGGCCAAAACAGCCAGAACTGGACCAATCCAAAGCCAGGAGCTTCTGTTATGACTCCCATGTAGACATAGTAGCCCACGGACTTAGGCAAACCTCTGACGCTTTCCCAGGTCATAAGTAGGAAGCTGAGTTAGAAGTGGAGTAGCCAAGCCGGGTGCAAAAGCGTAGTGGCTAAAGTCCTCGCCTTGCATGCACTGGGATCCTATATGGGCACTGGTTTTAACCACAGCTACTCTACTTCCCACTCAGCTCCCTGCCTGTGGCCTGGGAAAGCAGTAGAGAACGGCCCAAAGCCTTGGGACCCTGCACCCGAATGAGAGACCAAAAAGCTCCTGGTTTCGGATCAGCTCAGCTCCAGCATATTGGCCTCTTGGGGAGTGAGACAGCGGATGGAAGATCTTTTTCTGTATCTCCTTTTCTGTGTATCTGCCTTTCCAATAAAAATAAATCTTAAACAAAAAACCAAAACACAAAAACAACAACAAAAAAACCTGGAAGTTGTTAGGCCCACAGTTCCACTAGTTTTTTTTTTTTTTTTTAAAAGATTTACTTTTTAAATTTTTTTATTGCAAAGGCAGATATATAGAGAGGAGAGACAGAGAGGAAGATCTTGCATCTCATGATTCACTCCCCAAGTGAGCGCAACGGCAGGTGCTATGCTGATCCAAAGCCAGGAGCCTCTTCCGGGTCTCCCACGCGGGTGCAGGGTCCCAAAGTTTTGGGCCGTCCTCAACTGCTTTCCCGGGCCACAGGCAGGGAGCTAGAAGGGAAGCGGGGCTGCCGGGATAGAACCGGTGTCCATATGGGATCCCGGGCGTGCAAGGCGAGGACCTTTAACCACTGCACCACTGCGCCTGGCCCCCACTAGTTTTTTTTGAAGTGTTCTTATTATTTATGGTAAAATTATTTTTTCAAATTAAGATTTATTTATTTTTATTGCAAAGTCAGATATACAGAGAGGAGGAAAGACAGAAAGATCTTCCATCTCCAAGAGACCACAATGGCTGGTGCTGTGCCAATCCGAAACCAGGAGCCAGGAACTCTTCCAGGTCTTTCCCACACGGGTGCAGGGTCCGAGGCTTTGGGCCATCCTTAACTGCTTTTCCAGGCCACAAGCAGGTAGCTGGATGGGAAGTGGAGCTGCTGGGATTAGAACCAGAGCCCATATGGGATCTCAGCACGATCAAGGTCAGGAGTTTAGCTTCTAGGCCACCACGCTGGGCCCTGGTAAAACTATTTCTCTTAAAATTCTATTTTAATGGTGTTTCATGACTTGATTCTGACATACTGAAATAGTCAGTATCCTGAGAAAATTAAGAAGTTGTCCAATTTTTCTGTTTTGGTGGTAAACACCAATAGTTTCAGTAACTGCCTATAAGTTCTTCAATAGTTTCTTCCCCTCAGACTGATTTTAGCAGTTTCCCAACTCATCTTTACTACTGGTGCAAACTCAATATTCTTGAATGTTAATTTCCATCATGGATCAAGCCAATATACCTCTTAGCCCTTCACCCCTAACAGATTTATTTATTTCAAAGGGAAAGTGAGCATGACATCTCTCTCATTCAATGACTCACTCTTCAAATGCCTACAACAGATGGAGCTGAGCCAAGGTGAGGCGGATATTGGGAATTTCATCCAGGTCTCCCATGTACCATATGGGCCCATATACTGGGCCATAATATGCTGCCCTCCAGGGGTACTGGCAGGAAGCTAGAGTGGAATCACAGTGGCTGGGACTTGAACTGGTGTGATACATGGGCTGCGGGCATTAGAAAAGGCGTTTAACCTTGTGAGACAATGCGTATTTTCTTCCTCATTTTGATGCCACATACTCTGGTCTACTCTGTGTTATTATAATGGACTGGCATAAAACCATCCTCAACTCAAATCTTTCTAGATTCTTAATATATAGTTCAAAAATAACACTACTGACAATATCTTTGCAATTTCTGACTTCAACTATCAGTTTTTTTTAAAAACATTTCTTCATTTTTATTACAAAACCAGATATACAGAGAGGAGCAGAGATAGAGAGGAAGATCCTCTGTCCGATGATTCATCCCCAAGTGCCCGCAATGGCCAGTGCTGTGCCGATCCAAAGCCAGGAGCCAGGAACCTCCTCCGGGTCTCCCACATGGGTGCAGGGTCCCAAAGCCTTGGGCTGTCCTAGACCACTTTCCCCGGCCATAACCAAGGAGCTGGATGGGAAGTGGAGCTGCTGGGATTAGAACCGGCGCCCACATGGGATCCTGGGCATGCAAGGTGAGGGCTTTAGCTGCTAGGCCACGTCGTCGGGCCCAACTATTGGTTCACATACACTAAAATAATCAGTATCTCAAGAACTTGTGTTATTAACTATGTAAAGATTGTCAAAATATAATTAAAAAAAAAAAAAAGAAAAAGAACTTGTGCTAACTTTTTAAAACCATTTTAAATAGTTTCTTTTGGGTTTCTCAAATGGATGCAGATTCCCCTGGCTCTGGGCCATCCTTGACTGCCTTCTCAGGTCACAAGCAGTGAACTACAATGGGAACTGGGGCAGCCTGGACATGAACTGGCACCGATATGGATGTAAGAGCATGCAAGGCGAGCACTTTAGCCACTAAGATATCGGGCTGGACCTCGTAAACCTTATTCTTACCTAAATCATGTGCCCCACTGAACCTAGTGAAATGGATCCAAAGTGAATACTCAAGATTCACCTACCATGAAATCTCTCCCAACGTTAGCCAAGTGATATTTATTAACAATGGTCCCCTCTCTGTAATTTCATCATACCCTCTTAAAACAATTGGTTTTGCATAAAAAGCCTATTCATTGAATGCTATTTTAAAAAAGATTTATTTTTATTGGAAAGGCAGATGTACAGAGAGGAGAGACAGAGAGGAAGATCTTCCATCTGATGATTCACTCCCCAAGTGACCACAAGGGCTGTGCTGTGCCAATCTGAAGCCAGGAGCCTCTTCCGGGTCTCCCACACGGGTGCAGGGTCCCAAGACTCTGGGCCATCCTTGACTGCTTTCCCAGGCCACAAGCAGGGAGCTGGATGGGAAGCGGAACTGCCGCGATTAGAACTGGCGGCCATATGGGATCTCGGCACGTTCAAGGCGAGGACCTTAACCATTATGCTATTGCACCAGGCCCTGACTGTTATGTTTTAACTGAAAATAAATGATGAATGTGGTTGTCTGCAGTTTAGCTCTCTACCTACCTCAAATCATGTGATAAGAGATCTTCTAGTATGTTTCAGTTTCTAGTTTACCGTGCTACTCCACAGAAGTTTCCAAATCAGCAAGGATGGACTATGTAAGAACAAACTACATTTAGATTCTTGCTTTCTTTTTCTGGCGCAGCAAAAAGTGGCTGGTAGTGCTAAATTCTCTGCAGCAGTTGAATGGAAAGGAGAAACCTTTTTATCAAACTTCATATTCCCCCAAATCCCTAGCTTCTTCTGTTATTCAAGTAGAACAGAACTTAGGTTCTTGGCAATTCTAAAATTCTTTTCTCAGTCAGTAGGCAGCCTCTTGTACCTGTTTTTTGATGTGCTCCTTGACCGTCTACCTCTCTCTCTGGAATGAGACCTTCTCCGCCTTGGACTTTTGGATCGTCGCCTACTCCTTGATTTAGAATGGGATCGTCTTCTTGATCTGCTTCTTGATCGCCTAAAAATTGTAAAAGCAGCAGAGAAAAGCATATATGTATGAGAGGTTTTACATATTCCACCTGTCTACCGCAACTGAATTTTTGCCAATGGAGCGGGACTACTCCCTTCCAGTTGTTGGCATTACTCAGCCACATAATAAACATCTTGGAATCTCACAAATTAGTCATGTCTTTTGTATGATTTATTCACAGAAATAAACAAATTACAGTTACAAGGAACAGTTACAGAGAGAGGGGAGAGAATCTTCCACTGGTTAGGTTACTCTCCATGTGAACTCAACAGCCAGAGCAGGACTGGGTTAAAGCCGTTATTTCAAAAATCCAGCCTGGGAAGAACACACTAAAAAAAACTACAAAAGAGAAAGAGACTTGAACGTTACACAAAGTTTATTATTTTGGTTTCATGAGTCTTGTGTGTTTTCAACTAAGCAAAACATGAGATTTGCAAAGAAATAAGTACTGTGAAGAAGTTTTGTTTCAATGCTGTGCTATTTCCTTTGAGCTTTAAATATTTATTGGGACCGGTACAGTGGCTCAAGAGGCTGATCCTCCATCGCAAAGTGCTGGCACCACGTATGGGTGCCAGATGGCATCCTGGCTGCTCCATGTTACAATCCTGTTCTTTGCTAATGGCCTAGTAAACCAATGAAGGATCGTTCAAGCCCTTGGCACCCTGCACTTAGGTGAGAGACCTACAGGAAGCCGCTGGCTTCAGATCTACTTAGCTCAAGCAGTTGTAGCCATTTGGGAGAGTGAAGCAGGGGAAAGTAAATCCGTCCCTCCTCCCTCTGTATCTGACCTTCAACTAAAAACAAATCTTATTTTTGTTGTTGAAAGGCAGAGTTACAGAGGAAAGAGAGGCCTCCTATCTACTGGTTCATCTCCACAAACGGTCTAAATCACCAGATCTGAGCAGACTAAAGCTAGAGGCCAGGAGATTCCCTGAGCCTTTGGAGTGAGTGCTGAGCCATCCTCCACTGCTTTCCCAGACTATAAACACACAGCTTGATGGGAAGCCAAGCAACCGGGACAGAAAATTGGTGCTCATGTGGGATACCAGTGCCACAGTCTGAGGTTTAGCCTACTGTGCCAAGGGTCCAGTCCTATGATATTTTTTAATATGGTTAACACTGACAGATGTATATGCCACATAGAACCTTGTCAGAGTTCTCACATATTTTTTAAAAGATTTATTTACTTTTATTGGAAAGGCACGGTCATAGAGAGAAGACACAGAAGAGAGAAATAAATACACTTTCACTGTCTGCTCACTTCACAAAGGCCACAAGAGATAGGGCTACACGGATTCAAAGCTAGGAGCTTCTCCCAGGTCTTCCACATGAGTGTAGGGGATAAAGGACTTGAGCCATACTGTACTGCTTTGCCAGGCCACAAGAAGTGAGCTGGATGAGATATGGAGCAGCTGAAACTCAAGGCAGTGCCTGTACAGAATGTTAGTACCAAAATCAGGCTTAGCCTATGACACCATGCCCTCACGTGTGTGCATTTAAGTGCAAAACAGCAGTATGTGCGAAAGCTTTGGCACAGGTAATATGAATCTTAAGAGTAATTTATAAGTATTCATAAATTCGAACAAATCTCAATTTAGTAGACCTGGGGTGTCTACTAAAAAGCCATTATTTAGAATTCAAGTTAAAATTCTTTGCAAAGCTCTAACTCAAGATATCACCTAGGGATTTTCTGAGTATGAGTTGTTTGTTTAGCCTCTTATGCAAGGATGAACAACCACATTGATAGCATCAGCAATTACTGAAACATATTTTAGCCAGAAAGTGGTGCTTTAGTAATAGGTTCAAGTCCTTGCCTTGACTGCAGCCAGGCTTTCATATGCAGTTCTAATCCCAGCTGCCACTTCACATCACACTCCATGCCTGTAGTCTGGGAAAGCAGCCGAGGACGGCCCAAAGCTTGGGACACTGCACCCATGTGGGAGACTCAGAAGGAGATTCTGGCTTCTGCCTGTGAATTAGCTCAGCCCCACTGAGGGCCACTTGGGGAGTGAGCCAGCAGAAGATCTTTCTCTGTGTATGTTCTTTGTATCTGCCTTTCTAACAAAAAAGTGCCACAGAGCAACTATGATTGTCTATGGTTCAAATGAATGTTAAGAAACACTCTAACCTGTGCCTTGAAGAGGAGGGAGTCCTCCTCCTTCTTGAACGTGATCTTGATCTTGAATGTCTTCTTTTTTCATCCTTTTTATCTAAATTAAAAAAAAAATAATAAATACACAAAAGCAAAGATTTAGAATCATCCAATAAAATTATTATTCCCTCCAGGAATTATTTTTAACATTTCTATACTATCCTAATCTACTGCTTCTATGTATACTTGTATCTTAAATTGATTATGCATAATTACAATGTTGAAGTTCAGAGAATTTACAGGTTCTTTGGACCACCAGCCCACTCTACAGCACAGAAACATGTAAAGGATTTCTCATTAACCAAGCTATGAAAGGGTATTGATCTATAGCTATCATTTCCCATACTTTAAACAACAAAAATTTCTTTTAACTTAGCACCTAAAGAAAAAATAAATCCATTGCATATTTTCAATAAATGAACTATCCCCAATATGTAAGTGATTTCTCTTTCACATTTAGGTGACTTCACTAACTATTCATTTATTGTGAATGTCACTGTCAATAATTAATGCACAAAGTTCTTAGGAAAAAAAAAAGCAGTATAACACAAGACCACAGGTAAAAATACACAGGTGTCAAAAAGGCAACCTGTACAGAATACTTGGTTTCCTTTACACAAATGACATACAGGCATTTTTATTTAGCTTGTCTTAAACAAAACTCAGGCTATCTGGGGCCTGGCGTGATGGCTTGATGGCTGAATCCTCGCCTTGCATGCGTTAGGATCCCATATGGCACAGGTTCATGTCCTAGCTGCTTTACTTCCCATCTAGCTCCTTGCTTGTGATCTGAGAAAGCACAGAGGATGGACCAAGGCCTTGGGATCCTGCAGTTGTGTGGGAGACCTGGAAGAAGCTACTGGCTTTTATGGTCACTGTGGTCATTGTGGCTGGCTGGTGAGTGAACCAGTGAATGGCAGTGAAAGACTGTTTTTCCAACAAAACAAATATTAAAAAAAAAAAAAAAAAAGGCTGTTTGAAGCTAGACATAAAAATTTTATAGCAAGTATTAGATACTATTAGCTCTAACGACATTTCAATTGTTTTAATCACTGTTGGTGGTGGGTGGAGTGGCCTGGACAGCCACCAACATTTCCAATTATCTTCTCTGAAGAAGTAGTTAGTATTTTTTTTTTTTAGAAGTAGTTAGTATTAATGAAACAAACAAAAGGTATTTCAAATTATTTCCACATGTCTGGGTGGTATGCCAATAAATAATCTTTCTAAAAATTTGTTTCAGATTTATATTCCACAAAACAGCACAAACATGTTTTACCTGGCTCTATAGCAGCAGAAATCAGGGACTGTGCTTCTCGTACTCTTTTCATAGCTTCCTCTATTTCTTTACTAGAGGTGTCAGATTTTAGACTTGGTGAAACAAGACCAGCAGCTACATGATTCAACCTAAAACAAAAAATTGAGTTTTGAAATATTTTAAGTGAATCTTATCATTTTATATGCATATGCTGCATAACATTATTTTAGAAAAATATTTCTTATATGAAAACGGGGGAGGGATAAGGATCCAATACTTGAGTTAATATACTGTAATGCATCACTTAAAATATCTGCAAAGGGGACCTGCATTTTGAGTCAGATACCTAGAATAACAAAGATATATGATTTTGTTGAATATTTATTAGCATACACATTTTAGGAAATCTGCTGATGCAAAAATTTAAATGACATTTCCCTCACATAATTAAGAATACACTTAGGTTGGATAGAAAGCATTATCTTTTAATTTGATGATGGGAAAGAACTGAGGCAGAAGCCAATGTTCCATCAAACGTATACGTATATCATTACATCTTTTAAGATGTGACTTAAAAGATTTTATGGGCCAGGCGCGGTGGCGCAAGTGGTTAAGGTCCTCGCCTTGCTCGCCCGGGATCCCATATGGGCGCCGGTTCTATCCCGGCAGCCCTGCTTCCCTTCCAGCTCCCTGCCTGTGGCCCAGGAAAGCAGTCGAGGCTGGCCCAAAGCTTTGGGACCCTGCACTAGCGTGGGAGACCCAGAAGAGTCTCCTGGCTTTGGATCAGCATAGCATCAGCCGTTGCGCTCACTTAGTGAATGGATCATCAGACGGAAGATCTTCCTCTCTGTCTCTCCTCTCTGTATATCTGCCTTTCCAATGAAAAAATAATAAAAATAAATCTTTAAAAAAAAAAATTTCACACATGTAGGAAGAAAAGGTTATATCCACTAGTCATTTGTGGTACAGTGGGAAGTGTAATCAAGAATGGATCACCAGGAACTTCAATGACATTGGTGATGTGATACTTTGTTGATTCATGGGGTACATGCTTGAATTTTAACTTTAAAATACTATTAAATACAACAGTTGTTATAAAAATTTATTCTTTCTTTCCTTATCTGTAGTCTCCGACTTACTGATAGTGGCACTTATGAGTAGCAAAAGGCACAAAAATTCAAATTTAACATACCAACAAACAATATAGACTTGTTACATGTCAACATGTCAAACAAGTAACAATTACAACATGATGAATACTCATTAGGGTACTTACAAGTTTGGCTAAAATTACTCACATGCATGTGTTTTTTCCCCCCGTGGGATGTCTTTCCCCTCAGCCTTGCCTCCCAGCTCAGCCTCTGATCTTCAAGCTAAGTTCTCCCTTTACGATAACTTCCCATAGCACCTCTACTTTCCCTACTTATACGTATCCATATTTTACTGTCTGAATGATCTTTAAATGCAATGCAGACACTCACACATTTAGTTTAAAAAAAAATGCAAACAAAAAACTAAATAGAACATTGAACTCTTTGCTACCACTTAAAAAATTATTACCAAACATCTTCCAGATTCTTTGTCTCTAAAAATCAACTTATACTTTATGACCTGAGAATGGGAAACTTTCTTTTCAACTACTGAAAAAACCTACCATTAGGGCAGGTCATTAGTTCTAGTGATTAACCTGCTAGCACCACACATCAAAATGCCTGCACTCATGTGTAAGTGCAGGTTCCACTTCCAGCTTCCAAACGTGGACCATGAGAAGCAGTGATGATGGTGCAATTAGGACCTTGCCAGCTATGCAAGTGAGTGACTTAGACTGAGTTTCACCTCTAGGCATTGGCCCAGCCCAATGCCACTAGAGGCATTTGGGGAATGGACTGGTAAGAACACCCTCTGCCCTATAAATAAATAAATGGGTAGAAAAAACACCCTAAAAATCCATAGTCTAGACAGTATCATTCCATATCACTAATGGAATAAAGAAAATTCCTTACTTTGGATCAACAGTACTCATAAGCTTCAGCAACTGATCTGCGGCAAGAGACTGCAGAAACAAAAAAGCATAATCATGAAAATACATAAAATGATACACAGTTCTTGTTTTCTTAGTATGTTTATGTCTCAGTGTGTTCTGTAAAATTTGTCAACCTTCAAAAAGGAACATGATTAACACTAATCAATAGAAACACTGCGAACTTTGTCAGCGTAAATTTTTTCATATCAATATCAAAAAAAACCCAACAAAAACAAAACAAAACAGGTAACCACAGTGGCTGAATATTGAACAGAGAAACTTTAGCAAGTTAGCTGAAGAGCATAAGGCTGAACAGTCTACACTTTATATGATTACCTTTCGATAAATGAATGCTTTCTCAGTGAAAATAACATGTTCAAGAAACAAATTTAAGCTCAAACTGAAATGCTCAGCCAATATGATACACTTTGTGTATTAAATTTTATCAAACAAGAAGCTGTTTAATGTGTAGGAGGGTAGAACTTTATGCCATTTCTGTAATTCAGTAGTTAATTATTGGTGTTCAAATGGAAACTCCATTAATGAAATACATTTTCTGAAAGGCAACAATAAGTGGTACCTGAGAGTTCAGATTTGCTCCAGGAAGCCCAAGTGCAGCAAGGGCAGGATCAAGAGTAGGAGCTCCCAAAGCAGCCAATGGAACAGCGCCAATCTGTGAAAATTCAAATTAAACATATTTAAAGCTTCATTAATGTTCCTTATGAAATTTATATAATTTTCCCTCATTGTAAACTGCTCAACTTCATGCAAATCCACACAGCTATTGCTACTGCAGCTGAAAAAACCAGACAATACACAACCAATGGGCATGGCCTATTCCAACGAAAAAAGGATTAGCAAAGACAGATATGGGGCTGGCGCAGTGGGAAAGCATTAAGCTACTGCTTACGATGATGCAATTTTAAAAGTTGCCAATCTCAAGACTTGCTAGTTCTGCTTCCTATCCAGCTCCCTAAGGAGCATGGGAAAGAATGAAGGACAGGGCGCTTTACACCAATGTAGGAAATCCAAATGGAGCTCCAGGATCATGATTTTGGAGTATCCTGGCACCAGAAACTGCAATTATTGAGTAAACAACGACTAAATTTCCTGTCAAATTTCAAAGAAAAAAAAAATGTCTGTCCAAATTGCTGTGCTTTGTAACCCTGCAGTCAGTGTCTGAAGTCATTCAGCAACCTTGTTGCCCTTTAAGGTTAATTTATTTAGAAGGTAGAGTAACAAAGAAGCAAGGAGGCAGGGAACAAGGTAGATGGATCTTTTACTCTGTTGTTTACTTCCGAATTCCTGCAAGTTAGTGCTGGGCCAGGAAAAAAACCTGAAACTTTGTTTTCCATATGTGTGGCCATCATCTGCTACTTTCCAGATATATCAGCAGGAAGCTGGGTCAGTAAGCATGGAGTAGCTGGAGTAGAACAAGAGCTCCAGTTAGGATGAGGATACCAAAACAGCAACTGACCATACCATACTGCCAATCCCATCATTTGTATTCATTACAGAGCATTTCTTCCTTAAAATCATGATTGGGAATGATAAAAACAATAAAAAAAAGTTCATAGTTAATAAATTCTTGTGTGATCAAATTATATACCTATTTCTTAGCTCCCAATCTATTGTTCTCTGTACTGTTTTGTGATGCTTGAGGCAGAGCCCTTAAGAAATGTGTAATTTTGGTTCATATTTTGTAAGTACAATGTACTAAACTGTTTATTCAGTATAGGTAAAATGTGTTAATACTACTTTGGATTGCAGCTTAATATCTGCTTTTATGAGTCAAAGGCTCTAGAAATGACCAAGATTTTAAAAGAAGTAGGGGTTTAGTGATAAAAGTCATATCCTAAAAGCCCAGGAATTCTTGTTCTTCCTATGACACTACATGCTGCAGTTCACTTCATTGTTATCAAAAGGATTACTAACACAAACAAAATGATAAAACAGAAAAATAACGTTCTTATAAACTGGCAGTTTAGGTTTATCATTAAGTAATATCTCTGAAATCACAAAATTCAAAATGATACTTAAGGCTGCCTTTTTATTCAGAAACATTGTTTCAGTGTTACAAACTAACCCATTGCAATTCATCTCCTCTATACCAATTGGCCCCATGAAGAATTCCTAACTATTTTCAAGCTATCTCTTCAATCCAAATCCATAGATTAACAGCAGAGGACCAATGCTTTTGAGAAAGAAGAGGTTTTAAAATGCAAAACTTCAAGAGATTCTCTGAACCATCTAGGATCATAATATAGTTTTTATAAGACTATGCACATTGAAAGCACTCTATGCACTAGAGAATTTCAACCATTTAAAAACCTAACATGTTTTAAATTCTATTCACAATTCTAAGTCCAGTGCCCTTACATCCCTTAAAAATTCCACCATCTACTACCTGTGTAAGAGGGTTAGGCGTGGGCAGGAGTCCACCACCAGGCAGAAGACCTGCCACTGCATTAGCTGGTGCCAACAGAGACAAAGCCTTAGTCTCATCAGGAATAACTCCTGCAGAGAAACATCCTTGCATTAGAAGACATTCTTTTCCAGTACAGAACACACACAAAAACACCCAGAAAATGTCTCCCTGATACACCACCTGAGTTTGTTGAACAGTACTTATGTTCGCTAAAATATAAAGCTTGACTGCTATGATTATTTATCATTAATTTTATGTCAGAATGAAACTTCAATGTGTGAAAACTTGTTTCCTTTTTCTCTACAAATGGTTAAGTTTCTAGAGTAAAAAAAATAGCACAATACACACTACTTTTTTGTTAACACTGCCAAGATTTCATCACCTGTACTCGATTTTTAAGTCATGAACCAAACGTAAGCAAGCACAGTCGGTTCTCCAGGGGTGTGCTCTCAACTTTCAAAAGCTGTTTTATGAACAACGACTCGTGTCGGCTGCTTCACTATAAAGCACACAGAAAAATCAAGATACACAAGACAAAAAAAGTTTGATTTAGGGGTTAATAATATGGTACAGTTACTATGATTTTCTTTTACACCTACCACACAAATTTTGTAAAAATTAAGAGAAGAAAAGTATGTAAAGGAAATATTCTGTTGGAATCAAGCGTAGGGCTTTTGCTGGCTCATGAAAATGAGTATGAATGCTTGAGGTCTCTGAATACACAAAGAATGTGTATGTGTGTGCATGTGTGAGTGAGAGAGAGAATAAGTAAAACAACATGGCACATTCCTTACCTGTACAGTAAAATGCTTTATGATCCAACAAGTGCCATGCTAACCATACCAAAAATGCTGCTATATAATGTCAGTTCGAAAGCTAACGAAGCCGAACTCCTTAAGAAAAAAGTGACAAATATGTCTGTTTTTAAAGCCTAATCTGTGTATTCAGATAAAATCTAAGGGTCCTACGACAAATATTTGACAATTTAAATTCTATCCAACAGCAAAAGCCCTATTCAGATGGATTAATCTGTTAATGTGCCCAAGCCCCCAAAATGAGAGTTCAATAATACAATTAAACTACATATTTGCAAATACCAGTAGTATTTCTGTAATACATATTAAGAAACTGCATCTCATCATAAAACATACAATATGTACAGGGCACTTAAGAGAAACTGGATAAGCTGCAGAAGAAAACTGTTGGGTGGTATTTTCAGCAGGGCCTGGTATATAGTTCAGGCTGAACCAGGGAAAAGAACTGTAAAACACAACAACAAAAAAGAAAAACCACTGTTAAATAAAGGTAATGGTTCCTTCCACCTATACTGAGAAGTGCCGATAATATAAACAAATGTATACTACACAGCACTGTTATCTTGCTTGTGTCAGAGCTGTCATCAATTTAGATACCAAGAGTCATGGAGGGAAGGGGAGGGAAAGATCACTTAGAATATAGGGCATTAATGCATCAATATTAACAAACCTACAAAGATTATGGGATAATTTTGCATGCAAAATTATTTCTCAAGAGGATGCATTAAATATCAACATCTTACTAACAAAATCATTTGCAACATTTCTGGAAAACTAAAATCCTCTTGAATTTATTGTGAGACACCTGATAGAAGATCTGCATCCATTAAAAAAAAAAGTCATGCATCTGATCCTCTGATTAAAAAAGGACTATTTAAAAATAAAACTACAATTTAAAAATAGCAATGAGGCCCCTCACCAGTTAATTTTCATGCGTCAAGAGTATTTTTTTTACTGCTGCTTTGATAGAACCATGAAATACTGCATGAATGTGTAGAAATGAAAGAAAAAGAAACAGACAAAAGAAACAAACATTAACCAAGGAACCTAAAAAACCCCCAAATCCATTACTTTTTAAGAGTTCTTTCCAATCCAACTATCTATTTTAACCACTTAAAAACTATTCCTTACCGTAGACCCTGCGCCTATTGCTCTAAAACACTGACCAAGGACCAGTTTCAAAATATAAGAGCTAGAACCAGAATGAATGGCAACAAAGGGATCATTACATCAGCTTAGTGGGGGTAACATTAATACAGCACATCATACCAGAAAATTAAATATACCAAAATAGATTACGGAGCAACATGGTTCCATCATTCTCCCTCTATATATTTCTAAACACTCCACTTTCAAAACATATGAAAGAATTACTAAAACTACTAACAAAAGCAAGCTATATGATATACTGTATTATGTTCAGGGCTTGGGATATTTAGCCAAAAAAATTTGTTAAAGGCTAACTGAAATATTCTTGCACATTACTCACATGATTTGACCTTTGTTCCAAGAACTATCATTTATATTTCCTCATTTTGAATTTTAACTTTGTAAATTTTCTATTTGGAGGTCTTATTCTACAACAGGCAAACTGACATAAAACAAACTAACTCCAAAGTCTATCAAACAACCAAAACCTTAAAATTGGGCTTATACACTTCAATATTATGGACACAGAGGTACTGTTATTATATAGCATGCTTTAACCCATCTATGAATGCAAGTTCATTTCTTAAGAAAACCAGAAGTAGCTTCTAAGTTTTAAGAACTAGACATTTCACAACTTTTATAAAGTATGGTGCAAATGTTCATACTTGTATCCTAATGTACAAGACAATATCTAAAATCAGCAATAGTAAGATTCTGCCTCTACTGACCAGTTTATTAAAGAAAGGGTATTGAAGTTTTGGTCAGGATATTTATTTGTTCACTTAAAATCCAGAATTTTCCTTATATTCCAGTGATTTTTTTTGATCAAAATTTAGTTACCAAAAAACGAATCAAGTAACAATACACTGGGAACAACCTAATTATAAAATATGCCTTAGAAAAATTTACAAAATGGCATTAAAATAATGTTGTCTTGTCACAGTGGCCTTTTCTAGATCCAAAAATCTGCTCATTTTTTTTTCTGTCAAATTACTTTAACAGCCTAAAATGTAAAAAGAGAGAAAATGTAGTTAACAAATGGTTACACCAGGATAACACTTTTGGCACTTGAGCGCTTGCTGGCCTTTGTTAATGTCTAGAATCCCCTGTAGATGCAGAGGACCCACTGTTTTTCAGTCAGCTGGAAGGGTTTTGCATTTGCCTTCTCCACTATAAAAATCACACACACAAATAACAGAGAGAAGAATTTATTATTTAGAGATATTCTAGAAAATATAGCAAGAACAAGATAATCTGGCATAAAATTAAAACACCCAGTGCCCATATGGCACCTAGCTATAGAAAAATTACCAAACCAAACCAAACCAAACCAACAAACGAAAAAAAAAACCAAAAAAACCAAACAAAACAAAACAAAAAAACCAGAAACAAAACCAAAAACCATTGCAACCCTTGCTATACTGAAATAATGTGGAATTTTTTTCTCTTCAAGTTATTAGTATTAGGAAGCACTAAGGAAATAAAACTAAGCTAGTCATTCATTTTAAACAAAAATAACATAATGCATTTATGTGAAGGCTTATGTGTAAGTGCATATGGAGTATACCATTCACCTTCGGGAATTTTCATTAAATTAACTCCCTAGATGTATCTCTTGAGTTACAAATAGGGACACAGTTTTAATGCGCTTAAAAGGTTTAAAAAGCAAGCAAAATATATCTTAAAAAAAAGTGCTTGATTTCTACTTTTAGAATTAAAAGCTCCAACTAAAATTTATGGATTGCAGTATAACAAGGGTTTCAAAACGTTAATAGCCTCAGTTTTATCATGCTGCTAGCAGTCACTCTACAACTACATTATGGTCATCTTAGGATGACCAGAGAGGCAGTTAAACAAAGCACAAACCTTCTGCATATGGTACGACTATCAAAGCTCTGTCAACGAATACAGTGTTTGTCAGGTGCTGTGCCACAACTGCTGAGTCCGGATCATGGAATTTAACAAAGCAGACACGAGATGAGACTGGCAAAGGTGAGTCACTAAAAAAATAAACAAATAACATAAGAGAAAAGGAATATCAGATGAAACACAAATATACAATTGGACAATCAATACTTTGATTCAAAAACTAAAATAAGCAGATAAAAACTATCATATATTAACCTGAAGTACGAGAATAAATATTTCCAATAACGTACTGCCCAGTGAATAAATATTAATCTGTGGTATAGATAAAACTTGTGATCTCTATTAAAATGTGCAGTGTGTAGCAGGTTAAAAAGTTTGAAGTCTCTAGTTGCAACAGACCACAAAGTGTCAACATGTCTGCCTGCAATACCAGTACTGACTATTGTGAAACACGGTTATAAATCTGGCTTACAAACCATATTGTGGCCAATTTACCCAAGTGAAAACGACAAATTTTGTATTTCTGGCACAAAATATTGTGAAAAAGCATACTAAATTTAATCCTCAATGACTTTTTTGAGCTGCACAACAATTTAGTTCTCTGTGTGTCCTCTTTCCTGTGCAGTATGTAATAACTTCTGGGTGCCTTAAATACAGCTTTTTAACTTAAAACAGTTTTGAAGTAAAATTTTTAGCACAGAAAGGGACACGTATGATGCAACACTCCATTAAATAAAATGAGCTACTTTCTTCAGCAAACTATTTCTTTAGGAACAGGACAAACTGCTTAACTGCAGTTAAGGTAATGGTGAGACAGACAACACAGAAAAAGCTTCATTTTTTTTTTTAAAAAGTGGTTTAATTCTGCCTTCACTCTCAGAAGATTAAAGGTTATAGAATAAATTCTGGCAGGGGCTGTATCTACAGTCCTCAGTTCAAATCACTTTAATCAACATCTCTATGAAGTATTGAGCTCTTCTTCTTTGCTATCCCTGACAATTTTAATATAGATTTGGGACAAGATCTGCTTAGATGATTACATCCTAAGACACAACGGTGAAAAAGAAAATCCTTTAATAGTCTAATGCTTTAAGAACGGAGTTTCACTGTTTTTTTTTTTTTATGAGACACTTGCATGTAAAAACAAAATTTTACCATCAGACATGGTTACATTAGGTATGCTAGATAGATACACTTACTAGCGAAAAGTCTCTTTGAGCATTAATTGAAGCAATTTTCATCATAACTTCAAGTCCACATTTTAAAATGTGACCTGGCGGCTGAAACTCATTAGAATTTCTGAAGCTGGGCCCAACATGCCAGCTCAGTGGCTAAATCCCAGCCACTAAAATCCCATGAGTGCTGGTTCATATCCTGGTTGCTCCACCTTCCATCCAGCTCCCCACTTTGTCCTGAGAAAGCAGTCGAGGACCACGGCCCAAAGGCTGGGACTCCGTACCAGTAAGAAGCTCCTGACTGGCTCAGCTCGGGCCGCTGTGGTCATTTTGGCAAAGCAAAAAAATCGAGACTATGTCCACAACGAATCTAAACCATCTTGTTATGGACTTACTGTTCATTCTTGAATAGGTTCACCATTCCCCCTCCCCCAAATGTGATACAGTATTGATCCCCACAAATGAACTTAAAAGGCATGATTATTCCTTATTTCCTGGTTCACCTCACAAATGCCAGCAATAGCCAGGGGCTCTAACCAAAAACTCAATCTGGGCTTTTCATAAGGGAATTCACTCACATCAGAAAAATACTACATGATTTTGTTTAGGTGGAAAGCAAGCTCCCTGTTGCCATGTGGCCCCACTATTAACATCCCTTCTCAGATATGATTTTTTAATAAATAATTCTTTTTTAAAACATGCATTTATTTTTATTGGAATGGCAGATACACAGAGAAGAGGAGAGACAGAGAACAAGATCTTGCATCTGATGGTTCATTCCCCAAGTGACCACAATGGCTGGAACTGAGCAAATCCGAAGCCAGGAGACAGGAGCTCTTTCAGGTCTCCCATGTGGGTGCAGGAATCCAAGGCTTTGGATGGGAAGCAGGGCTGCCGGGATTAGAATTGGCACCCAAATGGGATCCCAGCGCATGCAAGGCAAGGACTTTAACCACTATGCTATTGTGCCGGGCCCCTCAGGTATTATTTTTAGAAAGACTGTTGATTTTCAGGAAAACTGTTGAAACAGACAGGGCAATCTAAACAAGATAGGCACAGAAGGAACATTCTACAACACAATCAAAGCAATTTATGAAAAACCCAATGCCAGCACCATACTAAATGGGGAAAGATTGGAAGCCTTCCTGCTAAAATCTGGAACTAGACAGGGATGTCCACTCTCACCGCTACTCTTCAATATAGTTTTGGAAGTCCTTGCCAGAGATGTTAGGCAAGAAAAAGCAATTAAAGGAATACGAATTGCAAATGAGGAATTGAAATTATCGTTATTTGCAGATGACATGATTCTCTGCATAGGACAACCAAAAGACTCAGTCAAGAGACTATTGGAACTCATACGAGACTTTGGCAGAGTAGCAGGATACAAAATTAATGAGACAGGGCAAAGGTGACTGGCATATGACACTATTGTCCTTCACTGAAGATTGGTGGTGGCCTTGTTTCCAACGGCACTCATAGTGTCCTTTGAGGGATGTCTCAGGATTTCCCAGAATGTACATTTCTGATTTTTACCTATAGCTCACTCAGAGAATCATAGAATGGTTCTTTCAAGTCATTATAGCAAGACAGGCAATGGGCAAGAGCTCTCCTACCTACTGGTCCACTCCCTAAATGCCCACACTCCCCGGGAAGTAGGAATACAACCCATGTTTCTCATGTGGGTGGCAGTTTTGCTGTTATGTAGGTTAGAACCAGCATCTGTATTAGAACACTGCAGACAGGAGCCAGAGCAGGGAATCCAGCCCCAGAGTCAGTCAATGGGGTATAATCCCTATCTTAACCACCGGGCTAAACGGCCACTTTTAGGTCTGATTTTCAACCAGATTCCCAGCTGACACTCGCCACCACTGAGAACCCGAGACCCAAGACACTGATTATCAGCCTTAATTCACACCTTAATATAGTACTAACCATTTTCAAGTGTAAAATCATAAAGATCATCTGCTTAATCCAAACAAGCAGTGAGTGAGTGTGACCAGGCAAAGTTCACCTGAAACCCCGATACTTTAGGTCGTAAAAATTTTTGGAGTTAAATTCTTTTGTTCAAAGGTGAATTGTATTCTTTCTCTTATCCTTACTAACTAGACTGTTACTTATACTTACGTAACCTTTAAAGTTATTTTTCTCACTGAAGTGTTATTAATGAGATTATAATTTCAGTTTTCTCATTTGTAAAGACTGAGCAAAGTAAATGTTGAAAGCATCCAACTTATAACACAAAACTATGTTTAACTGCATATTCATTTTAGGAACAACTGTAAGTTAGGCCAAGGATTACAGTTTTCACATAGCTGTAGGCTGTCATACAAAAAAGAAGGGTCAGAATATTATCCATTGTGAATAAAGGTGTTTATCTCTTGGTGAAAAAATATGCCAGTAGTTTACTTAAAGACCAAGAAACAGACTGAATAATGAAGTAGTGTAGGAACCCTGAAGCAGGTTTTTGTTAAAACCCCAAAAGACTTCCTCTTAAAAATACATTTAGAATTGTGGGCATGGGACTCAGTCACATTCAAGCAACTGTGAAAATTCACATTCACAACTCCTAAAAAAAAAAAAAATCCTTTCGATGCTGTTGAAGAATTCAGTAATTTAATGTTCTACAACTACAAGAGGAAGTTAAATTTCAAAGTCAAAAGGAGGGTGCCACATTTTTACAACTAGTGGTCAGGGAAGGATTTTCTGTTTAAAGATACAAGCTGAAAAAGGCTAGCACCAGAGCAGCCCAGTAAGGACAAAGAATTCCTGGTAGGTGTGAATGTGTTCTTAGAAGAAATTAAACATACAGGCACACACATATAATGCTCATACTCTGCCATTTAATGTCAATTTGTAAATTAGAGAATAGTTTTGGGAATTGATGAATGCCCATGGTAACATCATAGTGATAACTGTACTGAGTTTACAGAAACTGCCACGAAATTATGACCAACTGTGCAGGTCAGGTCAGCTATGCAGATAAATCAGTTAAAAAAACAAAAGAAAAAACAATGAAAGCTGGCATTTGTAAAGCTGTACAAAAATGGGAGACCACCAAAACTAACACAGCATTCACCACATTATAATCTTGAGCACAGAGCAGGAAGATGGGTGATTTCAGATGCAAAGTGCCCAAGCACACACCAGCTCTCCATGTTATGATGGGACACTGCATTTGACCACAAAGCAAAAGCCAAACTACCCCAATGACTTCATCTAAATATGGCCTTATCAGGAGAAAAAAATCATTGTATCTGCCTTATCTTCTCATAAGTGCATAATAAAAAGAACTTCACAGAATGAACAACACTTCAGAATTAGAACTCTAACAAAACTTGATGGACTGGGAAGAATGAGGTATCTCAAATGCCCAGAAGTAAAATGACCACAGACACCAAATTTAGCACTGCCATCTTCCTTTTCTTTTTAACTAATAACTCACAGATTGCATACTGCGAGAACACAGAGTAACAGTAAAACACCTACTTTTCTTTATGTTCATCTAAATGTGAGTTATTAAATTTCCTAACTACCAAAGCAGGTCAACTGTTTAAAATCATGTAAAATCATGTTTCTACATGTATATTTCTCAAAAAATCAATTAGTCTGAAAAAACATTGAAATATATTAGCTTGAAAATACTAGTAATGTAAACCTAATTATCAACTCTTATCAATTATTTTACTAAACAGAAATTAGAAAAACTAATAATTATATGCAATAAAACAGTAGATTCCTTCAGGATCCCGAGCTCCTGCTTAATATTTAAGTGACATCATAAAATGGTATTGTTTTCTGGGAACATTTGAATTTTGCTTCTCAGGAGTTAAGTAGTCCCAAAGAAACAGGACCATCTTATTTTATTTGCTCTGACACTCACTGCCTCACCTTATTAATGGATTCATTAGAATT